ATCATGTTTGATTTATTCATAGAATCTATTTCTGGTAGGCAGTAGAGCTTTTCTCAGTAGCTTACCAATTACTGCAGAAAACACAGTAGTAAAGGGTACTAAAATTTCAATCTGCATAGTTGATTGTGCATTTGCCTTAGCACAGGCTGCTTACTCTTTACTTTTGGGATCATGATATTCTATTTCACAGCAATGTTATATGTATTACAATTTTTGACACCCATGGTAAATAGTTTTTTGCTGTAGGTTTTTGCTATAGGGCTTTCCCCATATTTCAGTAGAAAGGTGTAAATACTAAAAAAGCTGGAAATAAATTCTTAGTAACTGATTCTTAGGCTTTGATAAAGAAAGTGATGAGGATTAAAAGAGGCAATTCTACTGAATCTAGAAAACACTGTGAATACTAAAAACTTATAAAGGGACCTTACCAAGAGATGTAATACACTCTGTGGTTACACTAAAGCTGGAAACTGCACAGCAACTACACTGATTTGGCAGGTAAACAAGCACAGTTTCCCTGGAATCTACATTTAGAGTTTTTACTTCAGAAAGTAATAACACACAAAAATGCTTTTGCTGTATATAGAACACACTGATATTGCCAAAGATGTGCAAATATTTAGCCCCTTTTAATTAACTTCATACAAAATACAGACATTGCAAGAAAAGCTGCAGCTTCATTTCCAATGTTTTCAAAGAATTCATTACTCTTGGCCAGTCATGTTTTGGGCACTCAGCAGGTTTTCCTGCAGTAAATCTCAAAGCAAGTAAGAGGAAGAAAAAGAAGACTAATAAAAATAAGAATATCAGCTCCAAAATAGCATAACCACCTCCAGCTGATGCTTCTGCACTGCTTTGGAGAGCTCTCTGGATTTGTTACACTTGTACACTTTGAAGGTTAAAATGGTGAAAGTAATCAGTGAGTGATAGAGGATTAATATTATTGCCTAAGTACTCTACCAACCCAACACACCTGTAGCTCACACAGTACATGGTAACAACTTCCAAAATTAACCAGGAAAGGAAAGCACTGTTTGTCAGGAGTGACTTGTCTGCCATCAAGCATATTCCAGAGCAGAAAGGTGGCTTTTAATTTATCCATAATAATTTGTATTTTAACCATGAAAGCTGGAATTGCATCCATTGCTACTGAGTTGTTCCTGTTAGTAACATCATCCCGTGCTATGAGTGGCAATTCTCTGGTACATTTTGGGGTTTGGAGCAGATTCTGATGGGATAACATATAGTATCATCATTTGAAACCCTAAAGGAGTGTTATTTACGTGATAATTTGGTATCAACCACAGCTGTTTTGCACTGCCCCTTGCAAAATCTTGATGGTGTTTTTCCTGAAGGCCGCTTATTACAAATATCTGTACAAAATGGTTAGACCTCCTCTGGGAAGGCAAATGCATCAACAGAAATGCTGTGGGAAACAGACTTTGTGACACAATTACCCACATAGACACTAGAGTAAGCCTCTGGATGAAAACTAGTTCTCCAGTATAAAGCATCTACTAATCCAAAAAAAGCTTCCTAAATTCCAAAGCTTTAGATTACAGAAGACTAAATGTTTCACATACCCTTGCCCTTCCCACTAATTTCTACTAACAGTTGTGAGGACCTAGCTAAGCTCATCCAGCTGACAGTTACTGGAAATACAGTGTCATGGTTTTGTTTTGCCTTGCAGATTTTAAATCAGGCTACACTACAGCACTGTGAAACGAAGCTGCAGCAGTACAATTTAACCCAAAAACATCAGCACCAGAATGACTGAGGCATCCCACTTTTCTAATAGGACTGTAAGTGCACTTGTACTGAAAAAAATTCCAGAAATGCAAAACGTTAGCTCCAGTACAGCTGTTCTAATGAGCTCATCTAGGTAGTGGTGAGTAGGGAAAACCAGGATTTTACCTGCAGAACCCTCTGGGTATTTGCAGAAGTTACCTGTAAAAAGTTCCATGTTTCAACCGAACAGAGAGCAACATAACCCTTGCTGCTGATGACATGAGCCAGGACTTTGGCAGATATCATTACCTTCACACCTAAAAGGGGCTAGGGGGGAAAATTGCCATTAGTTGACATTTTCTGTAGTAATTTTCAAGCAGAAAGTGACAGCTGTTCTGTTAGTGCAACATTAAGTCAGTTCTATGTTTTCTGAAGCTTCATCTCAGCATCATAACTAGTTGAAAATACCTGCGCCCTTCCACCCAGCAGCATTTATTTTTGCAGCAGACTCCCTGTACCTGTACTTGTGTCATTAAGGAAGCTGACTCTACTCTAGGTTGCTTCCACTTTGAAAGCTCCAGCATTTCTGACTGGTTCTTTCCTAATGCAAACAGCAGCTGGAAATCACCACGATAAATCCCCATGAGGGGACTGCCAGTTTCCCGGGACAATTGAACATCTTGCATTCCTCATGCATCTGAGAGCTCTAATACCCACGGCATGCAAAGCATCACCAGCAGCCCCCGGCCAGTTCGGGGGGTGGCTCCCTGCCCGCCATTCCCACGCTTTCACAGTGCATTAACAGGCAAATCCACAATAGCACATATGCTAATGCCTGCTAAAAAGGCATTTCATTTCGGGACCTCAGCTTAATGTACAACTGGAATCCTGCAGCATCACTGTGGGGAAAACAATAGCAGAGCATGAGTGGTGAAGGAAGACCTTGAGTGCTCTGTCAGAATGAATGACTGAGAGGGCATGGCAAAGGGAGGTGTGTGAAAACCAGCTGTGCTAATTCCTGCCTTCCACCTCAGCTTCGGCAGGATAACCCGAGCAATCAGTGCATGGTCTGTGACCCTTTGGCTCTTTGGAGAAGCAATCCCAGGCTGTTTTGCTGTACCCTGAACTGCTACTCAGCTCTCAAGCACCAAGCAGTGTGAGATGGTACAAGCACGGTGACTTCAGGGGCCACACATCTGTTCCTTCTACAGCCACTGCAAAGCACAGAGGCTGTGTTGGCAGATGGAAAAGTTGCCTTTGGGGAGAAACAGGTCAGGTATCAGAATGTAACAACAGAGAAACAGATGCAGAACTTTCTTCCCCATCACGCTGGTGCTTTGCTCAAAAACACCCTTATTAAGTGAAGGTTCAGCTCTGTGAAAGCAATTCCCTGTACCTTAGAAGAGACAATCTTGCCCAGCAGGCTCAGGAGTGTAGCCAGGTCTCTGATATACAAGCCTCTGACAAGGTACCTGACAAGCACACTGTGGTGAGAAGCACAAAGTGGAAGGCTCAGGATAAAGACTTGGGACACACCTCCTAGGTTTTTTGACTGTTGCAATAGAAGAATTTTCTATAGTCTCTTTTTACATGCTGTTGATTAAACATGAGAAAAATAGAGAAATGGTATTAAATTTTCATGCAGTTAGTCTATTTACAGGTACTTACTAAGACTGCACTGTTTTTTTTAAGTCAAGTAGATTTCCTCACCGTGACTGTTCTGTCTTACTGAAACCATTCACAATCCCTCTTAGGTCTCACACTATTTAGAATCATAGAATAATTTCAGTTGGAAGGGATCTTTAAAGGTCATCAAGTCCAACTCCACCCTGCAATGAGCAGGGACATCTTCAACTAGACCAAATTGCTCAGAGCCTCATCCAGTCTGACTTGATTTCCTTGGATGGGGGCTCTACCATCTACCAGTTCCGTGGGCAACCAGTTCCAGTGTTTCAACATCCTCATTGTAAAAAATTAATTCCTTATATCTAAACTTAATCCACTTCTTTTAGTTTAAAAACATCGTCCCTTGTCCTATTGAAACATCTGTCCTCATCTTTCTTATAAGCCCCTTTAAGTAACAAAGGCCACATTAAGGTCTCCCAGAGCCTTCTCTTCTCCAGGCTAAACAGTCCCAGTTTAAACCAATTCTAGCTAATGGATGGTCAATAAAAGAGAAAAGGGAGTGATGAAAGCAGAAAAAAAGGCTGAAAATAAAGGCTGGAACTTGCACCTGGTATCAGGTGACCCCTGATACAAGATTTAACTTACTAATTAAGATCTGCAGCAAACCCAGCACATTAATGTTGGGATGTTTAACAATAAGGCAACAATGTGCTGAGAAATTTTTTTGAGTGCACAGAAGTCATCAATCATCAATTCCACTATATAATCCACAGAACTTTTTATCATCTGAGATATTTGCACAGCATAAATACAATAAATGCACCTCTAAACAAAATTGATTACATGTACATATAGAAAAGTTTAAAAGTTACAGGGGATCAAAGTTGGTATGGTTTTTTTTTCTATCCCATGGGGTTTCAGCCTGTCCTACAGTGCTTGCAAAGAGCACATAAGATTTTCTTGCCCCCTCCTTCTACCCAAATCTTCCCATTGCAAGTCCCAAAATACATGACACTCTATAGTCCTAAACCCTTTAGCTCTAAAAGATGAATTCCACAGAATTTCTCTAATGCTCCTCTGGACTGACTTTATCCCTACTGCTACTTCACCACAGATTGCTTTAGCTTTCTTTTAAAAATCATATCGCATGCAAATGACAACAAGTTTTCTGTTCCTCTCTCGGTGCTCCCAAAAACTTTTTGGAGCTCTAGTTTAAAGAGATCACCTGTGTGGGCCTTGGAGTCAAAAAGGGCTGGCAGTAGGTACTAAACTTTCTCTCTTGACACAGAAAATAACCCTCTGCTGGGGCTATAATTCATTGACACTAAGAGGCTTTATGGCACGAAGTTTAACCAGTTCTTCCCACACAGCTATTCTCACCCACTGCACTCATTAATCAGAAAGCCTTTTAAATGTTATCTAGTAGCAAGAATTAAGCAGTTGTGTTTTGCACATCACGTTCCTTAGCTTGCTCTTTCATTTCCCCTTTTTCAACATTATCACATTATGTTCACCCTTCTTATTTGCTTTTCCTCTTCACAAAGCTCTTTAAACAGCTGCAAAGGGGGAGGGACCACTATGCTCACGAAAATTGCACTTTGCAGAACGCTTCTGTCAGGTCCTACTGTCTGTCTCTTTCCAGGCATTTCATACCTGCAAGATTCAGGTTTGCTTCTACATCTCTTGCCTGTGCATCTCTGCCAACAGAGCCTATTGCCAGCTGTCTAAGCTGAAGAACAGTAATCCACTTCTTACTGCCATGAGGAAAATGTACAGCCTCGTTCTCTTTGTGGTGGGCTCCTTTTGTCTGAACGGTAAGTGACCTTTTCTTTCTCCTACAGTTTCAGAACCGTCAGAGCTTTTGGGGGTAACAGGCAGGGCAGTGGAATGAGCTCATAGACAATTCGTAACCATCACCTCAGGAGGTTGCTGACTTTAAGAGGATGTATAAAATTGATTATTTTAGCGCTGTTTTGGGCTTGTTTGGTATCAGCACATGCACTACGACAAATATGGACAGACAGGTTGGATATAAAATTACATAACTGTAGGACATGACAATGATAATGACTAAATAATATCCCTTTAGATGCTCCCAGGATCATCTGTGATAGGAAAAGCAGCATATTGTACTGAAGGTGAAAAAATGAACCATGACATGATCCATAAATATGACAGATCTCATCCTTCTACCATTATTTTCTCAAGTTCCTATATTTTGCAAAGTTCATACTTCCTAATTTTTAAAATTAGAATGGAAACAGTTTAAATTAAGTTGTCATATGTAAATATATGCTACAAAAAATATAATAGTTATGCCTTTTATACATTTCCCTCAGTCTGTCAGGATTTCTTTGATATGTTTTAGCCAACAAAACAGCCTGACAGCAGCATGAAATAGTGCATTTAGCATGGGAGCTTCTTCCCATGGAGAGGCTCCTCTGAAGTGCTCCGAGAGAAACTGGCTGAAACTCAGATCCTCAGAAAAGATCCTCAGATCACACCCTTCCCAGTTTTGTCTATTCATTCCACACTTGCTTTGTTTCTTCCATGTCTGAAAGGCAACTTCTGAAAACATCTGCTTTGTGACAAAAGGAGAGTGAGGGCCCACTTTAGATTTTTAAACTATACATTTCTAAACCCTTGAGTATTTTCTTTTTTATTTGCATTAATTGCAGTGTAAAAATTACAAACCTTTAAAATACAGTAAATTCACTGCTACTTCTATTGGAACAAAAAATATTTCAAGTCAGCATGTGTTCTTCTAAGAGATTATGAAAATCTTTTTGCTTGAGAATATGTTGAGAAGTAGCAACATCATGAAGTTCTTTCAGAGAAGATAATGGGACTGCTTCATTGCTGCTTCTTACTTGTTCTTTACTAATTACAGATGGGAACTTGGTATGTCACTTATGTGTGAGAGATTAAAGGATTAAAATGGTAACACATGCTACAGTGCTACTTCTAAACAAATATTATTTCAACATTTATTATGAGAACTGAGCTCAGAGAAACACTAGAAATGTGTCTTATGTTACATTTTGAAATGTAGACAGTAACAACAGTGAACTTGCCTATATCTCTCAGCATTGCTCCTTATTCTTTTCTGTGGAAATCACTCCAATGAATTTCTAATTATGCTGGAATCAAACAGGATGTCTAGTTATTTCATTTTATGTATTTAAATTAGACTATGTAAAAAGGAAAGTCTCCACAGCAGTGGTTTAGTTTCTTTTGCTGTGAAATTGGAAGCTTCTTGGTGCAATTTTTTTAATGCTCATAGTCCCACAGAGCAAACAAACTTTCTGAGGAATGTGTACTGCATGGTATGTGGTGATTGCTCTCCCTGAAACAGAGCAGATGTGTAGCGGGTTCAGTGAAGCTAAAATCATTTCCACAGCTAAGGATTCACCCCAATGGGCTTTATTTATTAGTGCTTTCAGTACACAAAGATGCTCCACTCCCAAATTAGGACTGCTTGATCATTGTTGTTAAAATAATTTCTCTAAAAGCATCAGTCTACCATCTGCACCATCTCTGGTGATTACTGCTATTTGGAAAAAAAAGAAATAAAACCAGTTTGTGGGGAAAACTGCACTTCCATTTCTTCCAACCCTGAGAGGAAAAAGAGATGTTTCAAAGGCCTGGCTACTGACACGCAATGCACATAAAGATGAAACTGGATGCCTGGTAATTTTGTTCTCATTAATTGCCATCTGGTTTATATGTAGATTGTTAATGGAAAGTAGACTGTAAAAATTAGACAAGAAACGCTCATTTTTCGCCAGTATTTACAGAGATTGGTTTTAACAAGTTTTAAGGCAGTGCAGGGCTGACATCTAGTGGTGTATGATACAGGTGACAGCAGATCCTTTATTTCTGATTACTAAGTTACAAAGGCTGGAATTTTATAAAGGATTATCCCTAGAGAAGGAATGCCTTCACTAAGAGCAGATAATTTCTCAAAGGGATTCATTGTTGAATAAATATCTTTTATAACTAAAGCCATGGTTTGTCATTAATTCACACAAAGTTTATTAACAGTCAGTACTTGGAAATCTGAGCTGTTCTCATCAGACATGCAGACCCCACACCATGTTTGGATTTGCAGACCAGATGACTATGATTGCTAAAAGCAGGTTTCAGAGTAAAAACTAATTACAAATCCAGAATTAGCTTTCTGCAAATATTCTACAGTTCCTACTCCTTACTCCCCATTTAGCAAATACTCTCTGTGCTGGAATATCCAGACAAAGGCAGCAATGCAGTGAAAACACAGTTAACAATTCAAACAAGAACTCACATCTTTGCTAACAGTATTCAGTGACCACTGAATGAAACAAACCAACTGACAATTTATATTTGAATTACAGCCTTATGTTTACATCACATACATATGCAACAGTGGGAATGTCTAATAAAAAAAATCTACTATAAATAAACCCAACATAAAACTCCACCAAAGAACGCAATAAAAAAACTTTAACAAGGATTCTCTCTTGAACTACCACAGGATTTCTAACCTATCCTTGTAACCACAAGATTCATTCCTAGAACATGGCCCTCTTTTCTTCACAGTATCAAATTTAGCTTTTCCTTGATTGCTACACACAAGAAAACCACCCCAGAATCTGAAACTTAGCAAGATTCAGCATAGCTCTAGCTTGATAAGCTTTTGATTAGGCACCTTGCACTGAGAACAAATATCATATTAAAATATCACGTGGTATAGGGCTTTTATAATGACTTGCAGGAAGGTACAAAGCAAGTATAAATCAAAAAACAAACTGACCCAACACAGATACATTCATCCAAATTTGTTTTCCCAAATGCCTTGGAAAGTACTTGAAAAACCTATTCTGAAGAACCATGTTAGAGTTAAGTATAAATGAAGAATTTGGGCTACCAGGCCACAGTCCATGCTGGTCTTACAAGAATTAAATCAAGCCTGGTGTTTACCTCAGCCTTTCCACAAAGCTTGAGTAAAAGTTGTGCTTAGATGTGAAATCTCTGTTTGATAACCTTTCCTTTTACCTCACTCCACTCTCTCACTGGATCAGAAACAAGAAGGTCTTAGGGTATTTAGGTTCTGAATCCAGGTTGGATTCAGAAGAATTTGAAGTTTAAAGAGAGACTTGTTCAGCCTCTCAACTTGCAGCCCAGTTCACAAGGAAATGTGGCACCTTCTAGACATGCACACCAACTTTGGCTGCTTATTTGATCCCGACCTTTTGGTGTCTGCCTTTCTCCAGATTTCATGGATATGCAACAACATAAAAAAACCCCAAAACAAATTAATGTACCACAAATTCAAAATACTTGCATAGCCAGTGATTTTTGCTGTGTGAAATTGCTTTGGGAAATAATGAAGCATGTATGCTGTAAGGACACTACCCTCATTTCTGCAATGTCTAGAGGTGAATTAGGTGAGCTGAATTAGGTGACCTTTTCTATGGAAGAGGTATTCTATCCATTGTATTGGAACCTGTGTGCACTAACACAGTAATTTCATCAGCATCACAACCCAGACCTGCCCAACACAGAGCACAGGGTGTCTGGCTCAGTTCTGTCAGCAGGATGTCACCAGGACCTTGCTTATCAGTATGGTCAGGTGGTCAACAGTGGTTTGAAAGTCCACTGGGGTGACTTTAAAAAGCATACAAAGAACATGAGAACAGAATAAATGACCCTGGGGTTGTGCCAGAAGCTGCTCTGCTCCACAGGGAATGTTCAGGCTCGTTTCATAGTAACCTGTAGATACTGTATTTTGTAGTCACTGGACTCCAGCTTTGGCAAAGATTTACAGTATTTGTGCTGGTCCACAAATCAGGTTTTACTTCCACATAAAGTAAGTCTAACATACTGCCTAGGGTTTTCAAATTTTGAAACAGAAACGTCACTAGCTACTAGAGAGTCCCCAGTCATTAAAAAATCCTTTATGACTCCTAAAGCTTATTCCCTGGTATTCTTTACATAAAGCAGAGTCTTTAAATTTGTATGTGTATCTGCAACTCTGTCTCCTACAGCACTAAAGAGAGAAGTCACAGCTGGACCCCCCTCTTTGGATCACAGCATCATTCTTCCCCTGCTATCAAGAGGGTGGTTTGCTCCCAGTTTCTATTTCTGAGTGTAATCCCAAAAGTATCTACCAATTTGAGCTTCACATTTTATTACAAAAAACCCTGAAAGGGATCTGCTTTGATCTGTGCTCTGTGAAAGACAGTCAACTTCAGCAGAACAGATATCGGTGCAAGCACTGTATCCTCCTGTTCACACAAGTCTTTAGAAAATCAAAAGCTGTCATTATTTCCCAAAGATGATCTGATGCACAGATATTCTGTGAGCCCTACCTCATGTCACTTTAGTGTCCCTTCCATAATCCTGTTTTGTGATGCTTTACAGGAAGCATGGCAGCAGATGCTGAAGAAAAACTAATGAACCACCTGCTGAGTCCTGACAGGTACAATAAGTTAATTCGACCAGCTGTCAACTCCTCCCAGCTGGTATCCATAGAACTGCAGGTTTCCCTGGCACAGCTCATCAGTGTGGTAAGTTCAAATTAGGCTATGCCTTTACATTCAATACTACCTGCACAGCACTGTAATTAATAGTTATACTGGCATTGCTACATCTCTGCTCTTTTCTCATCTGTGTAACACTATTAATAGGCAGAGCCCATACACACAATTTCCTGGTTTTAGACCTCACAATGGAGCCACAATGGGGAAATCAGTCTGTGCCTAAGCTTTGAAGTCCCAGACCTTCATCCAATAGAATTCCATCTAGCTAAATTCAAAATCATTCCACTGATTTCAGTACAGCTACTGTAAGTTACCCCAGGTCAGGACCTATCCTGGACAGTGCACACCATCCACCATCAGGGGAATGCTAATCCATCTTCTACTCAAGTGCTCCAATGGCCTGAAAACAAGCTACAAAGCCACATCCAAATCACATGACATATCAGGCATATTAATAAAGAACACTGGAATGTTTTAAAGAAAAACACACATTAGTTCTGGCTGGAATAGCTTAACATGGTTAAAATAATCCTCATGAAAGCAACTCCTCATATTCAATAACAATTACTTCAGTGGGTCTAAAAGACACTTTCACCCACAAGGTTAGTATGTGTTTGACAGTTATTACAAGGTATAAACATATCTTTACTAAGAGAGGTTAGCATTAACTGCAGTGGGAATAAGAGGCAGTATATAAGTGGGAATAATTTCCTGAACTGGGCTTTCAACTCTGCTGCTCTCCCTGAGAGAGACAGAGAAGATACAGATGACTGCCTCCTGTCAGAATTTGTGTAAGGGCTTGTAACTGGGCTGCTGCAAACTTTTAGAGACATGAAGAATGCATATTCTGAAATTCAAGAAGAAAGACTCTGTTGGAATGCAAGGGGAACTGTACAAATAGCTGAGGTTTCATACATCCATGCAGACTGGATATAATATATATAGATAGTCATAGATGTAAATACATATACACTCAGGATTCAATGTCTTGAATACCACATGATTCTAGTTAAGTGCTCTCTCTCCTGGGGAGCTCCATCTGGACACAGACATGCCTCCTTACATCCTGCACTACCACCATAAGCACAGTGTCCCCTCAGACTGCAGATTCTGGGCATAAAAAGGGAGATGTCTTGTTCCAGAGGCCCTGGTGATCAACAACCTAAGCAAGGTGGATGAATGGGCAAAGACCAAGACCAGCACAGCTCAGTCCCTATCCCTCTATAGCCTCACTCTTTGAACAGAATAAAATTAGGCATCTTGTAGGCTCCAACAACCTCAAGCATCTTCAGGATCAGAGAACTAACTCATTTTCCTGCAGAAATCCTCCTGACAGATCTTCTGCAGAGAGGTTTCTCTTCTGGACTGCTGTCTAGAGACATGGTATACATGGCAAACCTTACACCAACCTCACACAACCTCATACAGGCCTCCCTGATGGCCAGCTGTCCCTTCTGTTTCAAATCAAGGGTGGAGAAGTGGGGTGGGATAGGAAACCAGCTTAGCAAGGTGGTGGTTATTGTTTCCAAATAACTGCACTCACTCCTGCCATAACTGTTTTTGTTAAAAGGCATTTGGAATTCTGCATTTATGGGGTTACTACTTATCAGTATGTGTACAAGACTGGCCATTGTACCTTAGAGAAATGTCTGTCTTGAAATGCACTAGACAAAATCATGCTTAAAAACCCACTGAATAAATCTTATTACTGCAATGAAGTGAAACATTTTAGAGGCCAGTTTTTGTCTCTGTTTTTTCCCTGCAGAATGAACGGGAGCAGATCATGACTACAAACGTGTGGCTGAACCAGGTAACAAACCCACAGAGAAATGGCTCTTGCAAAGCACAAATACAACTGCTCTCACTCCACCACATGACTGTTTTGTTAGTGCTGCTCTGGACACTCCCATCACTACTGTCCAATTCTTCTCTTAGGAGTGGATTGATTATCGGCTGGCTTGGAAGCCCTCTGACTTTGAAGGAATCAATAAGCTGAGAATACCTTCAAAGCACATCTGGCTGCCAGACATTGTGCTTTACAATAAGTAAGTAAAACTGGTGTGGTTTACACAGACAATGAACAAAATTTTAACCAAGGAACAAACACCAGAAAGGATGAAGCAGGTCTGGTAAAATTTTAAAACTGAATTTTATGTAGTAGCAAGTGTATCTGACTGGGCTACTGGGCTCAAAGATAATTTTCACCATCAGCGCTCTGATTAAAGAAATTCCAGCAGAGCTGGAAGATGTCTGCAGCATGAGCAGTTACAGCACAGGATCCAGGCCAAGGCTCACAACTGAGACAGAGTTCTATGAAAACAGACTGTATGGAAAGAATAAATTGTAGGTATAAGTGCAGTTGCAAGAAGACATCTGGAATCCTATCTATTAGACATCTTAGGGGCTGAGATACAGTTTTGTTTTCTTCTTCCCCCACTCCTCCTTCTACCACAGACCCCAGGACACACATCTGTTACAAAGTTCACACATATCATAACTCCAGGAGTTCATATTCATGTAGAAAACCCAAATTATATTCCATTTTTGTAAAGCATTGAAAAAATCCATTCTATTCTATTCCATGAATATATAATAAATCTGTCAATATTTGACCCTGTTGCTTTATAGTACTGAGAAAAATATCATACTTCAGTTCCTCTTTCAAACAAAGGAACTGACAACTTTGTTTTGTTTTGGTTTAAGTTCTAGCAAAACCTTGAAGTGGATAATAAACTTTGTTTTTAAATAATCAAAATTTATACTTCTATAATACTTTGAAAACCAACGAATTCATGAGCACACGATGATTTATGAACATATACAGATGGGAAACCCAGGAAGTTTATATATAACTGAGTTAAGTCCTTGGAATCCTACTACTGGAAACCAGATTTGATGAACACTTAAATCTAATGTATGAGTCACAAAATAATTCAGCCAGTGGATTAGGATGTACTCTCCTGCTCAAAGCTTGTTCTGGTAAATTGTGCCTCTGCCCTCTGCTTCTTTTTGCTACTGGCCAACTGATACCGTTTAATAGCTTGTAAAAATAGAAAGGAATAGTTTCAAAAGGTTTCTTAAATGCACAGGAACAAGCCTCACTGTATTGGATTTCTACATTAGTACAAAGCTTCAATTAAATTTTAGCTGAAGGACAGCCCCATGTAACTTCCTGCTGCTGGAGCACAGTTTCACAGGCATCAATCAGTTTGAGGTGCTCAGGAAAACACAAAGCTCCCCATGCCCACAGCTCTGTCTGGGGCCTGTGCAGAGGGCTCTGGGAGTGCAGCCCAGCCTCTTCCCACCACTGAGACAGGACAGTCAGCACCACAACTCACATAATCCCAGCCCAGGATTCTGCCCAGCACACGGCATGGCATGATGGCAAAGGTAACTCAGGGAGTACAGATATGTCAGAACTAAGGCACAATTCATTTTTCAAAAAATAGCCATCTCATTGGCAGTGAACTAATGACCCCTATTAGTGGCTGTAGCCACTCCCACATCTGGTTGTTTCACTGTCTGCATGAATTAGCTGCAAAGGTCTCAGCTCAGTGCCAGGCTCTCACTGCCTCACCCAGGTGAGCCCTTTCCAGAGTCAAACCTAACTGACTCAGACACATGTGCCAAGCCTTAGATATTTGTAGCATTTCCCTGCTTAGGAAAAAAAAAATCACCCTTAGCACTGAAATAACGTTTTTCCATGATGCCTTGTCAACAAACACTACCCCAGGATACTTAATGGCTTAAACAGCTCTACCTTGTTGGCCCACACTGTTGGGCAGGAGAAGATACTTCTGACTGATAATGATCTTCTCCCTAAGTTAAAGGGCCCATCAGAACATAGAAGACTCCCCTGGTGGAAATTCAGCAGTTGGAAGAGATACAAAGCCAAGATTATTTGTGGGCACTAAGAACGCTGTGGCTTGTCTGTTCTGGTTTTGTAATAAGTAAACATTAACTGGAGTGATGCAATAAATAAGCCATATAATTACATTTCCTCTGCCTACACTCTCCGTGCATTTCTAACTAATGCAGCTCATCCTTATTTCCTTGTCCAAGTCATTTAGGAGTGTTGCTCTGTGTTCTTGGCAGCAGCCACACTCCAAATTGAAGGTACCTCTGTTTCCACACAGGATGATCTCATTTTTGCTTAGCCTTCAGACATGTACGGAGCTTTAATTATTTGAGCAAACATTTACAAAACACATTGATTTCTTTGGATGAAACAGAGGTGTATATTTGGTATTGAATAATAATTTTATAAGTTTTTTTTTTCTGTAAGTAATGGACCAAAAATCAACTATCTGATTGGGAGAAATGCATACATTAATCTCCCTATCAAGTTATAGCTCCCTACAGCATAGATTTCAGAATAATAGTATTACTAAACTTTGATTCTCAGAACAACTGGGGCCAACAAGATCAAGAATGTCAGACCTTTTCTGGTTTGAACTGTTTTTCCTCCTAATATTTTACCACTTCCTCCCCTTTCTCTTTTCTCCCCTCATTAGTGCCGACGGCACGTACGAGGTCTCGCTGTACACAAATGCCATTGTACAGAACAATGGAAGCATTCGCTGGCTGCCACCAGCCATTTACAAGAGTGCCTGCAAGATTGAGGTGAAGCATTTCCCATTTGACCAACAGAACTGCACCCTCAAGTTCCGCTCCTGGACCTACGACCACACAGAAATTGATATGGTGCTTAAGACTTCCACGGCGAGCATGGATGACTTCACACCAAGCGGAGAGTGGGACATTGTAGCACTACCAGGAAGAAGGACTGTAAACCCTCTGGACCCCAATTATGTCGATGTGACATATGACTTCATTATTAAAAGGAAACCACTTTTTTATACCATCAATCTTATAATTCCCTGTGTGCTAATTACATCCTTAGCCATCCTAGTATTCTACTTGCCTTCAGACTGTGGTGAAAAAATGACTTTATGCATATCTGTGTTGCTTGCCCTGACTGTGTTCTTGCTGCTGATCTCCAAAATTGTCCCTCCAACATCTCTAGATGTTCCGCTGATTGGCAAGTATCTCATGTTTACAATGGTGCTGGTGACCTTCTCAATAGTGACCAGTGTCTGTGTGCTCAATGTCCACCACAGATCTCCAAGTACTCACACTATGCCCCCTTGGGTAAAGCTGGTTTTCCTCGAAAGGCTCCCGGCATACCTGTTCATGAAGCGCCCAGAAAATCATTCTCCACGGCAAAAGCCATGCAACTGCAAAAAGACAAAAGCAGACAATCCTTGTATGGAGCCATCTGACTTCTACAAGAACTCTACCTACTTTTTGAATACAGCTTCTGCCAAAAGATATGATATGAAACTCTCTGAGACACCCGACAATGTCAGCAGTCATCGGGATTTTAGGTTAAGAACAGGTGCGAAATTTTCTCCCGAAGTGCGAGAAGCAATTGATGGAGTCAGTTTTATAGCAGAGCACATGAAAAGCGATGACAACGACCAGAGTGTAAGTAAAAATGAGAAATCCCTGCCCTTCCAAAGTTCATCTTATGTCCTCCTCTGTACCATGCTATTCCTCAGAAAGCATATTTGAACTCTCTAGCTATTGTCAAGATTTTAGAGAGATTCTAGATATAGCTCATAAGAGGAAATAATTTATGCCACTAATGAAAAGCAATTTGATAACTGCAAATACTCTCCTTATAAATAACATGGCTATTTCTACAAAAAGAGTTTGCTGATTGCTCAGTAAGTCATGAAACACTCTTAAAAAAGCTTTGTTGTCACATTCAAGTGGTGACTGGCGCGGAAAAAAACCAATATTCAGTTCCAGGTTAGAAATAGACCATTTTTCACCATTGTGAATCAGTAAGGCTGTGATTCGATCCATGGCCAGGCCAAGCTAACCAGAAACAATATTCAATGTTCCTGCAGCTCATGCATTCATTTATCTAATTAATGCACAGAAGGAGAATTTAGCAAAATTAGTAGAAGCCCTTTGCAAACACCCTCTCTAGACTAAGATACCTGCCTGTGTATGGCAAACACCATGGGTAGGATTAAAAACCTCAACAGAGCTGACACTTCTTTCATTATTTATATACATACCAGACTCATTAGGTTAGGAGAAATTTATTTTTAAGCTGTGCTTTATTTAAGCTGTGCTGCTGCTCTATTCCCCTGCCCTACTCACAGGCCTGTAGCTAGCACAATAGAGTTGACAGAAACACTGAATAACACTTGGAAAATTCAGGTGGGTCACAGGTTTTATTTAGAAAAGCAACCACAGTTGGGAAAAATCATCCTCACACTTACCATTGCCCTCTCTCTAATCCAGACCACAGTGAGACTCCAGGTTCTCTATTCCTGTTGTGCTTCCCCTCCCTCAGCCAAACAAATTAAATAAAGTCTGGTTTCTGATCTTGCAGCCGTCCCTAAAGGAGCATGCTGCTGAGTAGTTCATGTTTTCTATTAACTGAAATTACTGTCAATATAAATAAAGAAGGTCAGCTATTAACATTAGACATGAGCTTGTAAACATTGAAACTGACTGAACAGAAGCTGACTTCATAGTGCAGGAAAAGGTTTTCTAATAGCTAAGAAATTCTTGCAAGGATGTATTGCACACTAAAGGATCTACAAAGCTTTCACTTGGTAGTAAGAACAATTTTCAAGAGCATTTTATATATTGAAAATCCACTTACTACTTTTCATAGGGGGTCCTCTGATATTACATACAATTTTTCTAGATTCATAACTTTATTCTCTGCTTCCTTGCCTCATCACAATGGTCTGATAACAACTGTTCATATACATTTATATGGTGTGATTGCAGAAGCATTCAATTCCTATTAGCAGCAGTGGGAATTAAAAGTGTGCACTGAAAGAAAAATATGTAATGGTCTAATATCAGACATGATTCAACTGACAAGGAGGATAAAGTCACTGATGTGAAGACATCCCCTGTGTAACCAGAATTAATGAGAGAGGAAAAATTATTCCAAATGAAGATTGATATATTTCCCTCAGTTGGTCACTTTAGTCTGAAGCAGAATCTAAGGCCATGACTTTCACAGACAACACATGCAGGGCAAAAAGGCATCTTAAAAAAAGCAACAGTATTAATATGCATTAAACCCCATGAATAAGATGACTGCTGATAAGAAAAGAACTCTGAAGCTAACCTTGTTTAACAGCAGTAAACACAATCTATTTTTGCCCACTCAGATTAATAGCATTTACAATCTGAAATTGAAGAAAAAAAAATTCTTAATTGGATTATAGTGTGGGTCCTTCAGGGCTGGCACCACACCAGGCAGACACACTCAGTATCTGATGCATCCATGAAAGCTAAGAAATATTTACTGTATTTTTCTCCACTGCTCAGATGTGTTGTAGGAGAAAAATCCCTTACCAAGCCCAAAGTGTTTATTCCCTGAACCTTGAGATCAGTTTCCTTTTATTTTGATAAACAAAAATTCAGCATTAGCGAGAGGAAGACCAAAAGAATATGACAAATTACTAATATTTTTAATTGGCTTTTTCTTCCAGGTCATTGAAGATTGGAAATATGTTGCCATGGTAGTGGACAGGCTGTTTCTCTGGATATTTGTCCTTGTTTGTGTCCTGGGGACTGTTGGATTATTTCTGCAACCACTTTTTCAAAACCACACTGCTGCCATAAACCCTTAGCTGTTATTTTAAATGTCAATACTTACACAGACATTTGGTCTCATTCTGCTCTCAGTTCCCCTTTGTTAACTCCACAAAGGTGCCAAGTGAGTTGCACTTACATCCCTTAGAGTAAGGAAAAAGAACATAGAACTTGATTTACTGGGATAGGAAAAAACCAAAACAAATAAAAAACTATTTTTTTTCAGTGAGTCCAGTACTTCTGGTGATATCTTGCCCTTTTTTCAATTATTTGAAGTCTGAACATTACAGTGAGGGATTTTTGCTGTACAAGATGTCATCCTGGCATCATCATCATCATATTATTATGTATTTTAAATACATTGCCTTAGGAGGGATATTTTCTTTCCTTAGAATACTGCAAGTTCCATATTACAAAGAAGGTACTGCTGTGAAATTTCTTCAGATGCATCCAAGTTATTTGTGTCTGATTTATTAAGAGCTTGCAAGTGGGTTTGATACTTACATCTCAACTGAGAAACAGAAACACTTCTGAGGTAGCCACTGAAAGGTTTCTCAGCTTGCCATCTCCGGTACCTGATGGATTAACAAAGGCCAAATTAATGTATGATAAACAAACATGTATATAATACTCTGTTTGGTGATGAAATAGAAATAAACCATAAAATTTTCCTTTATATAGATTTAGTCCTCAAATTGCCTGCAAGTTTAAACAGCTCATGTATCTGGGGCACAAGCACACTTTAATGAGTCTAAGGCTACGAGCACAGGAAAGCAATGGGAGAAGACAATGGTGAAAGGCAGCAAGAATGAGAGGACATGTGAGCACAGACAGACCTGTGTGCTCTTCTGGAGAGATTTTAATGTGGATTTAAGTACAACCCTCAATAAATCAACTAGGGAAGCACATAGAGTCTTAAAGTTTTTGGCAAAGGACAGATTGAGGCCCTGGACCCCCATCACAGGACAATCCCACCACAGTTTGTCCCAGGTAACCTACAAAAAGAAAAGTGGGCTCCTTGCACTTTTCAAGTGAAATCAATCTCAGTTTTTCCTTGGGGGGCTGTGGACATACAACAATTGCACCACCATTGGTAAGTACAACTAACACCTGGTAAACAAACTTGAAATCCACTATTACTTGTGGAGGTTCACCTGTCCCAGGGGAATTAGTTGACAGCTAAACCTGTGTTCTTCAACAAGCCACACCTGAAGACAGTTCCAGCCCTACTTGACTTCATCAAGACCAAGCTACATTTTCTACCTAGAATTGCCATTCCCAGGCAGCCTCAGATAAGTACAAAGATTTAGCTGTGTATTCACACCTTTGCAATTTCTCTGAGCAGCTGCAGGGCTGCATTCACTCCCTCCCAAGGTGGCTGAACCCCTCCTGCACCAGTGGCAACCCCCATCCCTGAGGCCTGGGAGGTTCCCTTGGAGCACTTCAGCAGGGCTGGGTGCCTGGCAGTCTGAGAAGATGGTGTCTTGGTTTGGAAAGCCAGGTGTGCTAAGGAAGGCAGGAGCCTCCCCTGAAATGGAAAATGTAAACCCCCTCCGAATTGCTATAAATTTAAATTAAGGGGCTCGTGGGCAAAATATATGGGAGCAGGAATAACAGTTCTTTACTAGGAAGAAAATAAAAAGATAAAATGAACAATGCAATAAACCAAAGCAACCCTGACAGAGTCAGAACACAACCTGACACCCTGTTGGTCAGGGTGTTGGTAGCAGTCCAATTGGAATTGTGGCTACAGCCCTCCTGCAGTGTCAGGGGTGGTTTGTTGGAGCAGGGATCCTGTAGAAGGGTGTAGTGGAAGAGGCTGCTGCTGTTCCTCTGGGAAATCCAGAGGAGAAAAGCTGTGCTGGTATTCCAGAATCTCCAGAGTATATCCAGGTAGCAATGCTTGGCTCCTCCCTCTGGACTTACACCTCCCAATGGGATACTGTAGTTCTTATCAGCCATGCAGTGTTTCACATGCAGTGAAGGGGAGGAGTGGGTGTGGAAGAGATAAGGAAAACTGCCCATTTAACAGAAGAGAACTGCCATACAGATGGTAAATAGAATACAATTTGTTTGGCAATCCAGGACAGATGGGGAGAAGGATCACAAGTGGGGTGGGTGAGGCTGTCTTCAGCCCCACGCTAGAAGGAGAAAGGGTTCACACTGTCACCCTCCCTTCCATTCCCCTTCCTCTAAGCACTGTGTCACTCACACAGACAGAGCAGGGAGGTGAGGGATAACTGTAGGACTGCCTGCCCCAGTGATGCAGGAACACCCTGGGATCACCAGATCCTCCTGGCACAGGGGGCAGCCCCCTGGCCATCTCCCCAAACATGAACTATTCTGGACACTCCCATCATGACCACTGGGTGGTGTAAAGTTTAAATGGGTCAAACGGCATTTCCCCACCTCCAATGTTTCCTTCTCTTTTTCAGACCTGGAGAGTAGAGCAGCTGCTCTGCAGGCAGCTGTAACAACAGCTGTGAGGTGAGATGGGGCATGGACAGCCCCAGGAGCGCAGGGCTGCCTTCCCCAGGCAAGGAGATGCTGCTGTATGTTAGGTTACATCCCAACCAAAGGTGCACACATGCCCCAGCTGCTGAACAGCTTTTTCTGCTTACAGAGAAAGCACCTGGGAAGCCAGAGAAGCTGCCAGCACTGTGCAGGCAGTGTAAAGGTGAAAGCCCTTTAAATATCAAACCAATGCTGAACAGGGACTCTGAAAGAGGCAATGCAGACTTAAACACTCCAAGAGCTGCTGCACACTCGCTCAGGGCAGGAGGGAGAGGGACTCACCCAGCCAAGCAGCCATGGATGCAGCAAAGCAGCTGCAACCCCCCCCCTGCAGAGCCCAGACCCCTTTCTGCTGTTTTCAGCACCAACAGCACTTTGGGCTCTGTCCCACTCTTAGCCCATTACTGTCCTACCCAGCTCCCTCTCATCCTCCCCCTCACTGCCTGAATGCATCTGAAATGAGGCCCCAGGTGCTCCCATCTCAGAACTGCCCTTATCTCTATGAGCAGTAAAGACTGATAATGCTTGGCTCTGTAACTGCAGCCTTCAGCTAAATTATCCTCAGCATGGACAAAAGTTTTAGAAAGGATTTGGCAGCTCAGTTAGCAGCTATCACAGAGTCCAGGCAGATGAAGTCCTCAGACTCGACAAACCCAGAAAAAGCTTTCAAGAGGCACATCACTGGCCCCAGGGAGATCCCTGCAGAACCAGAGCTCCTCAGCTCCTCATGCAGGAAATGGTGGGCTCTGGAGCTTTTCATACACTGTGGCCAGCTTACTCCTTTTTAACCATGAGTGAAACAATATACTCTTTCCTAGTTATGTTCTTGGGAACCACCTCTGTAGGTTTAGCATTTCCAGATCTAATTTAATCCATAGCAAACTTCAGAATGAAATATTTCACCCAAACTCCTAAAATTCTGAAAAAACTGACCTCCTAAAACTGCATTTTCCAATTGGCAAACCCTATTTTTGCCTAACTCTCGACAACACCACCTACATAATAGATAGAACTGCTCCCAGTTTAACTTGTCAAAGAATTACAGGGTTCTCTGCTTTTATTTTTTGGCAAGACTTTAAAACTAAAATACTAGAGAAAAGGAAATATCAAAAATGTCTTGCAGGCAAATATGAATATGATAATGTCCCAGTTCATTGAACAAAATAAACTTCAACATTTCCACTTTTTAGGGGTTTTAACAGAATGATTTTCTATTAAAAAAAAAAAAAGTGGACATTCAAAATGTATTTTACGCTAAAATTTTTCAATGGCACTGTGCAACCAGTCTTTACTTCCTGACAAGTGAGGAAAAATCTCTGTTTAGTTTCTCTCCATTCCCTACCATTACAAAATTCTTTAATCCTGAACCAATCTTGCCTTCCATCAGAACATGTAAAAATTCCAACGCCACCACTCACCACCTGCACTCAGATGAGTTTACTAGGGACTCTTTCTGCACCCCTGCAGCCACAGCAAACTGGGAACAACTGGGAGCATCAATACCCAAGACCAAAGGTGGGAAAATGTTCTTTTCTTCATCACCTGAACTGACTAAGATTTGATCTTAACAAATCTTAGCAAGACCCCCCTAATAGCAGCATGTTTGTTAAAGAACAAAGGCTCCATAGGTTATTGTTTCAGATCTTCCTGGTAGATCAGCTTCCCCCTACCCAGACAAATTCTTCTTCTGTGTAGTTCTGCAATGCAGTCACAGTGACATGTTCTCATCACATCTCCCTCCCCAGTCCTAAAAAAAATTCTACCACAGTTCTAGCTGATTTCACCAGGAGATACAGCATGGGATGTTAGAAACAAAATATCTGTGCCATAAAAACACCACTGAAAGTGTCAGTAACTAGGGAAATTAAGCTAAAATATCTGTATCTCTTGGCTCTTTGTATGCTCTCTATGCTCATCTGTATGCTATGGCTCTTTGCTTCCTCTGCAGATCAGTATTTCCAAATTATTCAGGTTAAACATCGACTTTTGGAGAACACCAATTATGGTCTGATCTTTGAAGCTTTCACTCATTTCTAGTTGGGATTAAAAGGAACAAACAAAATTCTCAGTTATAATGCTGCTTATAGCAAGGAGACAGAAATGTAAACCATTTAGCCTCAATGCCCTGGAAATGCAAAACCAAAAGTATCCACAAAGGGTTAAGCTAAAAGACCAAGCAGCTGAGTTCTCAGAAAAAAAAAAAGAAATAAAATCAAATGGACAGTAAAGCCTATTTCCTCCACACTAACAGAATTACAGAAATTATCATAAGAGCATGTGTCTGGGGACAAAGTGAATGATGCTCTGAGAGATAGGGCTAACAGGATAAACAAGCTCAGTGCCAAGAACTGAACCCAGTCTGGTTCCTCTTAACACAGCACCAAACAGGGTCATTGCTTATGCTTCCCTAAGGGCACACAGTGAAGCACCTATAGCTGCAGCTCTTGTCGCACAGGGCTTCCCAACGGTTCTAAAAATGGGGGTAGAATCCCATATTGTTGTCTCCCCCCTTTTGCCTTTCACACAGATGCATGCAACAGCCACTGCATGAGCCTTGCATCACCCAGACATTTCAGATAGGGAGGGCAGTGCAAAAGGTGACCTGTAAGTTAACAAGGAAGATGATGGGCACCTGGGAAATACCTCACTTTGCAAATCATGATTTTATGGAACTTCAAACAGCTCCTCCTTCTTTCTAGTGTCCTTTCCCATGAACAAATAAGGTCTTGTGGGATAAAGTTGGGATCCTGTGCTTGTATTTCTCTTTTCAAATTTCACCTTTCTAATCTACAAAATAGGAATGGTCCAAAGACAGTTATTCTCAAGGGTTTGGTCAAGTTTGACTTCCGTTCAGAGCCCCCAGATTCTTGCCAGATCCCAGCCGCTGTTTACCACTCTGGGCTCAGATCTCACCAATTGTACATGCCTTTAATTACTCTTGGGAATAGCACATCCTTTCCACATGGTCAGGCACCCAGCACATCCTCTTGCAAGATGAGACACAAGCAGGAAAAAAACGTCAACAGCCTAATTGGAAATCAGGTCCCATGATCTCAGTTCACTGCTAAATCAGGCATCCCTAATGCCAATATTCATTTCAGAACAATTCAATTACAAGATTTGTATTAATTAAACTTCCCCTAGCAGATTGGCATGATCTTCTGCTAGATAAAGATCCTGTATAGCAGCTGGCTGGAAAACTCTCCAGTGTTGTCAGATTATCAAGCTCATTTATGCACCATTTTAAGGACTCTCGCCCACTATCTGTGCCAGAAGACTGCTCTTTGCCTACAATAACATCTGTTTTTCCTGCACTTTATTTGCCATTCCCAAAGCTCTGACAGCCTGGGCAGCTTGAAAGGGGGCAGCACAGCAAAGCTAATGGGAGCTCAGTGCGCAGAGCTGTGCTCAGGGTCCTGCTGGCTGCTGCTCGCAGGCATTTCATGCATCGGGGGAGCCGAGCCCTCCCTGCTGCCTGTGCTCCTCCAGCCCTGGCAGTGCAGCTCATCCTCAACAGCCTCTGTCCACAGGCAGTCATTCACAACACCATGGAGAGCCTGAACACACTCCTTCTAACTGCTGCTGCTTGCTTTCTCTGGCAAGGTGAGTGATCCTTAATCTGTTATTCTTTGATGGTGAAGGGAGGGTTGGAAACGGGACCAGGAGATGGTCTTGGTGCAAATTATTTTTAAGAAGTGCAGAAGCGCTCTCCAACCTAAGGGGCAAATGTACAGAATTGTGGTACAGCTCTTTCTGTTACACAGCTTGTTGTTCAGTGTGGGGGGGGGGGGGGTGTTTAAGTTTATCCTTCCAAAGTAGCTAAGTAGTCGTCCTGATGAAAAATGCCAAACAGGACACATAAAGCCATTTTAACATGAAGGAAAAGCGCCTCACACATAAAGGTGTGGTTTCACATATTGCAGAGAAGACAAGAAAGTGACAACATTAAAGAGCTTTAAGTATGTGCTGCAAACAGCACATCTCTGCAGATATGGAAAGCACAAAATAGTTAAACAAAAAACCCCACATGAATGCACTGTTTCTTCTCTAGAAACAGCAGATGCTAGATTTAATTAGAGTGCTGGTACCATGTAAAAAGGCTGGCAATTTGGGATTGACTATAATAGTTGTTAAGACCTAAATTTAAAATTATTTACCTAAAAGATTGGGGGGTATTTATTCCAGGAGATCTCAATCTAAGAGATAGAAGATATCAAGAAGTAACATGGGCAAGACTGGCAGTTAAAAAGTGTTCATTTTTTAGTTAGCAAGTTGGCTTGAATGATTTCACTAATCTGAAAACAAAATTGTATTCCAAGTGAACAAGGGAAAGCACAAGGGGTTAAAATCAATCAAACAAAACCAAAAGCAAACAAAAGACCTTTTAGCTGAATAGTTTAACATGAAGGGAACCCTTGTCTTAGGGTGAGGTGAGGTCTCACAGATTCAAAAGTAACACCTGCTTTGTGTAGTCTGTCACCTGCAGATAATTCTGCCTCCCCTCTTTCTCTACTAAAAAACAACGTGTAGAAAATAAACGTGTCCTTGCAAATATTCATATTTCATATATATATATATCCATATTTCTGTTTCAAAGGAACTGTAGAATATGTTCAACAGACTTCAGTTTGTGCCTTTGTCAAATTTGCATAATGACATTAATGACAAAACACTTTTTCTAGTGTTTCAGTTGGAATTCATGAGCATGTGTTGTCCAGAAGAGAGTTTAAGAGATAGCCCTTTAAAAATAAAAGGCCACTGGCTTCTAATAGTGTCAGGATGGTTATTGCCTAGATTGATAGTAAAATTGCAGTGTAAACTACAGGTTCTCACACCTCATCCTGAAACAGGTCAAGCACCTTGTTGTTTAAGAATTTCAGTTTGCAGCTTTTTTGTTGGCCACAGGGTAGGATGAACTGAATTTATGAGTGGCAAAAGGACAATAGGAATCTATTATAAATAAAAACTACTTAGAATAATAAAGGGGTAAATAGCAGATTTCTTTGAGTGTGCTGAAAAGTCCTTGAATGTACCAGTTAATCAAATTTTAATCCTTTTAAAAATATATTTCAAGAAGCAGGCTGTTATCCTCACTGTACTCACGCAATCATGACTCAGACTAGAAAGCAAACTTCTCATTTCCTACTGCAATGCTCCTTACCCCTTACCAGAGGCCTGGTCTGTTGGGCTACACTTTCCTCACATCCCTGTGACTTTGCCAGGTCTGGGGGACTGGGACTATGAGGGGAAAGAGCTTTTGCATTCCCAATTCCTCAGTAATTCCCCGAAACTGTTTCTTTAACTCATTTGCAGACGTGTGTTAGAAAACCTGTGCCGTAGCATTACCTTTCACTGCTCTCCTCCTCGCAGTCCAAGCGAATGCTCCCATGGCACAGCGCTGCCCGCTCAGGAGGGGCTGGGGCTCTGCTGAGCACCCAGGGGTGCGGAGCAGCCAGGGCAGTACCGGGACAGCCCGGCCCCGCACAGTGCTGGCCCCGAGCTCACCCCGTGCCCTCCGCAGGCTGCGGCGGCTCCGAGGCCGAGCACCGGCTCTACGCGGCCCTGTTCGAGAGCTACAACCAGTTCGTGCGCCCCGTCAAGAACGTCTCGGACCCCGTCATCATCCAGTTCGAGGTGTCCATGTCGCAGCTGGTGAAGGTGGTGAGTACCGCCCCGCCGGGCATCGCGGCAGGGCCGGCGCTTCTCCCGACACTCCTCTCTTTTCCAGGACGAAGTCAACCAGATAATGGAAACCAACTTGTGGCTGAAGCACGTAAGTAGCGCTCAGTGACAGCCCAGAGGGCACCAGCTCACTGCCGCTCCGCCGCGGGAGTCTTCCCGGGGTCACAGGAGCCGCCCGTCCAGCGAGGCCTCCGTGTTTTCCGGCAGCACCGGGCCTGAGGGGTCGGCGCCAGGCTCGGCTCCCTCGGGGCACAGACGCATCCCGGGACAGCAGCCCTACACAGGAGGCTGGGAGAGCATCCTTAGGGAGGATCCCGGGACAGCAGCCTGGACAGGAGGCTGGGAGACCATCCTCAGGCAGGATCTCTGCACAGCAGCCCTGCACAGGAGGCTGGGAGAGTAACACTGGACAGGAGGCCGGGAGAGCATCCTTAGGCAGGATCTCTGCACAGCAGCCCTCACAGGAGGCCGGGAGAGCATCCTTAGGCAGGATCTCTGCACAGCAGCCCTCACAGGAGGCCGGGAGAGCATCCTTAGGCAGGATCCCCCCACAGCAGCACTCACAGGATGCCGGCAGAGCAGACCCGGCTGCCCCGCTCCGCGCCGCTGGCGCCGCCCGAGACCTTCCCCGGGGCACTGCTGCCCCCCAGCGGCCGCCGCCCCGCCCGGCAGGCGGGGACAGAACCGGAGCGGAGCAGCGGGGTCGGGGAGAGACGGAGAGGGAACGGACGGGAGGAGAGCAAGGCTGGTACACTTGCTGCAGTCGCTAAATACAAGATTTTTGCTCTAGAGATGCCAAATCGCTGCCTTGGCAGACAACAACGCAAAGGAAGCATCTCGGCTCGGAGGTCGCGCACAGCGCCACTTGGTGCTGGTTAGCTCCCGCAAAGTGACAACAAACGAAAAATGTGTACTTCATGTTAAAAAGGCTTTTTAAAAATGCAGTTACTCACTGTTGCAGTCAGCTTAGTAACCAACTTAGTTCCCACCTTTAGCTTGATACTCAAGTTGGTTATAATGGGATTTAATAAGCGCTAGTGACAAAGGCTGTTACCTGAGCCATACATGCTGGAGCTCTCTCTGACCCTCAACTGATGCTCACAACTTGTGCCACCGGCCTCCGGGAACTTGTTTTCACTGTCCCATAGATACCGGTTTTTTGAGATCAAAGTTATTATTACAATCCTACACTCTCTGAAAAGAAAGTATCTGATTCCTTCTTCCAGCTTGTTCCAGCTACTGGATAGGCATTCCTGGGACAGCCACATATATTTAATTCATATATGTATATAACATCTAGGTATCTAGGCCCCCCTACAATCTAAATATGAACAAACACCACACATATGGCGTTTGTTAAAGAAACATCTAAACACTGTAGTCCAAAATAAATCAACCCAAGAAGTGATATGACAGCACATGGTTCAGATCTAGTCCAATGAATTTCAGTTTCTTCACAAACCTAACATGGACTCATTTCTACCATAATTAGATCTGGAATGATTACAAGCTTCGGTGGAATCCAGCAGACTATGGAGGTGCTGAATTCATCCGAGTTCCATCTGGCCAGATCTGGAAGCCAGATATTGTTTTATATAACAAGTAAGGCTCTTGTGTATTTAACTTCTTAATTCAGGGAGAGAGGGGTGATGTTACCAGCTCTAAATCAGCAGCAAGTTCACAGAATGCACTGAAAAGCTGCTTTTCAACACACCTGTGTCCTGCATCCCCCCCATTGCTGTTCTCACCTTCATGCCAGCTCTAACCTGGAGCTGCAAGTGAGCAGGCCAAAGTGAACTTGGCTTTTTGCCTTCACAAGCCCCTGTGAGTCACAACTGTTAAAGTGAATGCAAATTCTAGCTTTTTAGCAGTCAAATTCACAATTTGACACCTTTGACAAATAAAAGCCACAGATGAAGTTTACTTTAGATGTCAATTTTTGAGACTGTAAAGAGCCAAACCATAACTAAATGGATCTGTAAGAATGCAATTCTCATGGAAATAGACTCAGCTACACAGATCCAAAACTCAGTTCTATGGATAAACAGTGATGCCACTCCTTTTCTAACTGGGGCCTTAAAACTTCAAATTACCCTTTAATTTTACTTTTTCATATACTCAACTGTATCATATAAGTTAGCAAAGTGGGACTTAAAATAACCTCTTACCCAATACACTCCTTATGCAAAGATACACCCCAACCCTAATCCCTCCTTCCATAGTTACTACCAGCACTGTCCATGGAAGAGGTGGAAATACCAGCAATATTCTTATCAGCCCTTGAGCTCTGATGTGCTTGATCAATCTAGAATAGAATAGAATGAAATAATTCAGTTGGAAGGGCCCTACAAGACTCATCTAGTCAGACTGTTATTTGCCATTTTGAATATTGATTGCACCAAGCCATGCTATTAATAAGGGAGAGTATTTGCTTTCAACTCCTCCTGGTGAGTTTATAGAGCTGTTTGTTTCAGTTTAACCACACGAATTTATGATGGTCACTGAGCCAGTCTTGCATGAGCAATTCAGCTCCAAGTAAACAAGTAACGGCTGACTTCCCCAAAAAAGATAAAAGAGTTCATGTGTATGATCTGAATGTATGAAACTACCTGGAGTAGATAATTCTAATTTTTGCTATTTTTACTTGCTTTACAGTGCAGTTGGGGATTTCCAGGTTGATGACAAGACAAAGGCCCTTTTAAGGTACACAGGTGATGTGACCTGGATACCTCCAGCTATATTTAAAAGTTCATGTAAAATAGATGTAACCTACTTCCCATTTGACTATCAGAACTGCACCATGAAGTTTGGTTCCTGGTCTTACGACAAAGCCAAAATTGACTTAGTTCTAATTGGCTCAACAATGAACCTCAAAGATTACTGGGAGAGTGGAGAATGGGCTATAATTAAAGCTCCTGGGTATAAACATGACATCAAGTACAACTGCTGCGAAGAGATATATCCAGACATCACATATTCTCTTTACATCAGGCGTTTACCTTTATTTTACACTATCAACATGATTATTCCCTGTCTGCTGATTTCTTTTCTGACTGTATTAGTTTTCTATTTGCCCTCAGACTGTGGTGAGAAGGTGACACTCTGCATATCAGTGCTTCTCTCTTTAACAGTGTTCCTTCTTGTTATCACAGAAACCATACCTTCTACTTCCCTGGTAATTCCCCTTATTGGGGAATACCTCCTTTTCACCATGATATTTGTAACTCTCTCGATTGTCATCACAGTATTTGTACTGAATGTGCACTACAGAACACCCAAGACACACACAATGCCCGTGTGGGTGAGAACCATTTTCTTGAACTTACTTCCCCGGATCATGTTCATGACAAGGCCCACCAGTGATGAAGAGAATAATCAGAAGCCAAAACCACTATTCACTTCTGAGTTTTCAAACTTAAATTGCATCAACGGCTCTGAAAGCAAATGCTGCAAAGATGGCTTTGCTTGTCAAGACATGGCCTGCAGCTGCTGTCAGTATCAGCACACCAAGTTCTCGGATTTCAGTGGCAATCTCACTAGAAGTTCAAGCTCTGAGTCTGTAGATCCTATGCTTTCATTTTCAGTTCTGTCACCAGAAATGAGAGATGCTATTGAAAGTGTGAAATACATTGCAGAAAATATGAAAATGCAGAATGAAGCAAAAGAGGTAAGAACATATTTTACTGTTACTCAAACTGCAGATACCTTTTGTCATTAGAGTGTTTGGTAAGAAAAAGATCTCAAACAGACAAAAAAGATAAAAGAAATCATTATTTTTTGCAAGTAAATTACACAAGCTGTATTACAAATATGTGCAATTTTGAACTTATATAATTGAGAAGCAGTTCTGCTGCACAGTGATCTCTTTATTGACAATATATATATTGAGTGAGGCACATTAAAGGGAACACACCAAAGCACCCATCCCATGAGAACTGAAGTTAGGATTTTTCAAGTTGTAATCTTAATAGTGGAATTTACTGACCCTATGGCCTTTAGAAAGTTACATTCTCCCTCCCACAGCTTACCATCAACAACAGAAATTTAGAGTGAATGTCCCTCACAGTGATGATGGTGCTCACTCTGTTGCTGCTGCAGAGTAAAGTGCTGTAGCTAAATGAGGAAACTGCTGCAAGACAGGGACTGGCATCTTTCATAAAGCTGCATCTTAATACAATAAAGGAGAAAAAAAAAAGAAAAGGTTTTTTTCTACCACATTCCTCAAACATACTATGAGCAGTAGCCACACCATCACAGTTTTTACAATCCCAAACTATACACTTCATTCTAACTTCACTGTGTTTACACTTAAATCAGAACTCTATTTAGGTTTAGATTTAGTTGGCACAGAAAATAAAGGGTTGCTTTGGGTTTTTAAGTTTGCCTTAACAAGTAAGTTCTAAGCTAAAAAGAACAAATTTCAAAACCAACAAATTCATTTCTTATCATTCTTGAAGAAAAACAAAACAAATTGAATTGTAATCTCAATAATAACTAAAAATTATCACCGATTACTATTAATATATAACAAATATAATACTTCATTGTCACTCTTGCTATAAAATATACTGCAAGAAAAGAAAATTAAAAAAATCAGAGTTTTTTTGAAATGTGGTTCCCTCTTTACATGAAAGGTACAGAGATGCATTTTACATCATGCATGAAAATGGTCAAATTTCAGTACAACATAACAAAGTACCAAATAATTATACACCAATTAATCTTTGGTTTTTACATACTACCTAAAGGCCAGTAGGAACAGTCTGTTTCAGGAACATTTTCTGGACAAACCTGTTCATCTAAGAAAGTAAAGCTTTACGCTTTCATTTTTGGAATAGAGAAGTTGTGTCTCCTCAAGTCCAGTGTCTTGGTGAAAACCTTTTGGATTTGAAGCAGAAGCTTTTGGCTTTGCTCCAAAGAGCATATTCAAATAAAGCTTCTTCAAGATTAATTCATTTGTCAGTGAAAATATATGTGTAAGTTGTGTATTCATAAGGATATCTACCTACAGAAAAAACTGTGCTTCTTTTATGAAATGGTATTACTGCTAATGCAACTTATTCACCTAATAAACATGCCAACTTGCTATTCTTTTTTTTCTTTTCAGATTCAGGACGATTGGAAATATGTTGCCATGGTAATTGATCGTATTTTTCTATGGGTTTTCATCCTGGTATGTATTCTAGGAACAGCAGGATTGTTTTTACAACCTCTGATGGCTGGAGATGAAATGTAAAAATTAACTAAAACATTGTGAAATCAAATAAAACTGCCAATCAACTCTGCATCCCTCTCCCAGCACCTCCTGTCTCTTCCATGTAGTAGAACAAGAATCTCTCTTGTCTTCAACTTCACTGACCAAGACAGCTTTGTTCAAAATGCAGAAAAAGGAATTTGGAACCTTTATGACAGCTAATCTAAAAGTAACACAAGCTATGTTTTACAGCTACTTCCTGCAATAACTGGAGAAGATGGAGGCAGTATGTGAAACTTTATAGGAGTGATTTAAGAAGGGGTTAATAAAGAAATGGAAAATTACATGAGTATTTGGAAAGTCACGATGAGTTTAATGCTTTGGGCTATTAGGTTTGTTTTGTAGTCTGGTCCCAAGCTTCCTCAGAGCATGCCAGGATCTTCTGGAAGGAGTTCCATGAATACCCTCACGAGGACAGAAGGGTGGGAAGCACAAGCACCAAACAGCTGGAGTGCAGGCATTGCCACCTGCTGTACAAACTGACCCACACAGCGCAAGAAAGGACTGAGGAGGGCTTTAGTACAAAAGGAGAACAAAAGGGTAAATAATAGATGGTGGTAATAAAGCAGCCATAAAGTAAACTCTGTGTATCCCTAGATTGCAATGTATGTGAAGGCTGTCAGGAAAAAAAACCTGCTCAAACCTGATGATGTTCAGAATTGTGTACAAGTAAAACACAATAAGACAGTCTGCAAGTGATGCAAAGGATCAAAAACTCAGACAGGATAGTTTAGATACAGAGGCATCCTGCTGTAGTGAAGTGTTTGATGCCAAGGTAAGGCAGGTAGACAAAAATAGTCCTGTAAAGTGTGCTAAAATTGTTGCTTAGGCATATATATCTTCTCTCTTTTTTTTTTGATCAGTAACTGCAGATTATTTAAGAGCATGAATAAAGAATGCAACAAAACACTGTCATCGGATGATATTTTGTAAAAATACAAACTGTTGTCTCTGTAGCAAACCAAAAGCTTTGTGGAAATACAGTGTATCAAGTGATGTAACATTTATGAAAATAAAGAGAATCAAACTGTTGAAAATTGTGCCTTTTTTCATTTATTGTGAGTGAGTGACAGATCTATATAAGGTAGTATTACCCACAGTTCAATACATTCAGCAATAAGTTACAGAAGTAAAAGTCCATGCTTCTGAGTACAGTAACATTCTTTTGTTTCAGACACACCTGATAAGCAGAAGACCCCAAGGATTCCAGTGTCAGCTGTGTTACCTGAATCTATCATGATCAGACTAGAAGTCCCTAAAAGAAATTCATGCATTTGTAAAGACTGTGAGCTACTATAATAAAGGGAGTGACTCCACTGGACAATGTGCTTGCTGCCCATCATGATGTAACTGGGCAGCCTGGAGACATCATTCAACAAGGGGAAAGAGATGAAATGGACAGTAAAAAAAATAAGAGACATATCTAATCTACAGTTGTACTCACTTTGCTTTCTCTACAGGTAAATTTCAATAATTCAAACCTATGGAAGACTTTAAAAAGAAATGTTGTATTTGAAGAGGAAACAAGCTATCTGAAGTATTTTTGCAACTTGCACACAGAGAAAGTCATTGATGCATTGTTTAACCTCAGTAATACTGAGAAATTAAAGCTCTTTTATTAATGAATTAAAACAGATAATCTTTGCAAATTCACCTTGAAAGTTATGATGGGAATAGAGGAAAAATGGATATCCAATATCAGATGTAATTGTGTAACTGAAGAAGAGTAATTCCCTAACTGCTATTATTAAAAAAAAAAAAAGAAAAAAAGGTCTGCCTGATGTCATTTCCCTACCTGTGAACCTTTAGATGCTACACAAAACCAAGAATGTCCTGCAGAGTAAAACATTTTGAAATAAATATTCAATTATAAATAAATTATGACATAAGTAATCACTATTATAATTAGTGCAGGGATTTTCTAAAGGAGATCTGGGAAGGAGTGTGGGAGAAATATGTATCCATTGTTCAAATTTATAATCACTATAAAAACTTAAAATTATCGAAGATACCACAGTTTACATTAAAATTTCTCACCTAAGCATGTTATTATTCATGTAGTAATTCAAGCAAATAAAAACTTCCTAAGATTTGCTCTACTCCTGTATTAGGCCTACAGGATGCAATTATATTATGAACAACACTGAAAAAACTTTAATGTAGGAAAACACCCAACTATTTTAGAGTCTTTTCCAGAAATAAAGCTATTAAGAAAGGAAGTGAGGTGGCATTGGAATCAGGGTAAAGAATGCATTTTAATGGAATAATTGAAAAATTGCAAGTTCATTTTCAATGATCTTAGGAAAAAAGAATTTCAGAAAACTCTAAGCTCTTGCTGCTTAGAGTTACATATGGTTTTTAAAGTGAAAGAACTAATCCAAGGCAGCTCTCAAGTTCAATTAAACAAATGTAAAAATCATTTATCATCTCCATTTGGTTCTACAGTATAGTAATTTATAACCCATTTCCTTCAGAAAGATGCTCCACAAATTCCTTCTGCCTGTGCTTAAAATCTTAATTCTGAGAAACATCCAGACACAGGAAATAATGAACATGTCTGCAAACTCACACACTGTATCAAATTCTTCATCAAGAGTAAAGAAATCTGAATGTTCCAGCCCCTTAGAATACTTATGCTCCTTGGGAACTCAGTTAACTGCCTAACATCAATATACACACATGCTTTAGGCATTTTAAGGCTTATTAAATGCTCATGTTGGTATCACAGAATTAACAAGCTTTAAAATTTAGCAACAAATTCCAGTGAAAATTTATAAAGGCCAAACATGGCCAAATTGCTGTTTTTAGTTGTATATTATATATACAGGAGGTTTACTTATATTTTTATTATTTTAAATTATTCTGGTGAAATTTCAGACTTCTGCAACACACTGAAGAGAACTGATGAAAATTCACCTTTGTGCACTAAATTGAAATAAGCAACTCTACTGTGTAAATGCAATTATTTAATATTCAGTATAATGATTTATATAGTAATTTAATAATTGGACTACAGTGATTATCATTAAAAAATTGAAATCCTTCTATATCACAGTAGGTGTCAATGTCTGCTTTTTTAATAAATCATACATGCCATGGCTAGAAAAGGTTCTTTTAATTGTGACCTGGCTTGGCAGTAACTCAGTAGACTGGCAATAAGCAGACTGACTTCTGTGTGTCCTGGGAATGCCATGCTTTAAATAAACCTAATTTTCTAGTTCTGGATTTATTTTTTTTTTTTTCACTCTACCAGAAACATGCCTAGAAAGAACATGCATGGAAACAGAGTTACTGCAAAACTTAGAGCCAGATCAGTAGGAGATAGCTCCAAAAATATTTTATGCATTTGTACTGCCTATATGGGTAGGGACTATTATACTTGCCCATTTATGAATAACAGGAATAAATAACACAAGTGATCCAATTATTGAAACCAGAAGAAAAGCCCACAAGAACATTCGATCAAGCACCTGAGCAATGTATTTCCAGTCTTCAACAACCTAAAACACAAGAGAGCACATAAATTGGTCAGTGTGTGCAAGAACAGGTAAAAACACAGCACCAAATCCTGCAATTCTTAATTATTTCAATATAGGCTTTTGCCAACCATGTCCCTGGGAAAACCCTCTGGAGCAATGTTTTATGATTATACTGGGAGTTAGAACTGAAGCAAGCTTCCCTCTGTGAAGATGGATAAGCTATGTAGATTTTGATGCAGAAATTGACCCTGAGAAGCACCAAACATCCTCATCTATAGAGATGAGACTGGCCTGCCATTTTCTAACATACTGCAGGATACATGGCACATGACATCATAACGTGGAATTCCCAAGCAGGAGTTGGAAGCAAAAGTTGTAACAAAACTCCCAACAACCAAAACCACCAACCCAAAACGAAAAACTAACCAGAAAACCAAAACCAAACCTCCCAAGCAGTAAATAAAAAAAAAAAAAATTAAATTGTTAGTACAGAGCAGCTGTTTTGTTACAGACAATTGCTGAAAGCTGCAAAGAATTATACACTGGGGAGAATACTCACAGGGGTTTCATGACTATTTTTTCTTTTTTGATAAAATTATTCATATCTATACACATATCTGCAAGTATTGCAGATATAATTGTGCAAGCAAATTAAAACCCTGCCAAACAATTGTGTTGGATTTGAACTGGAGCTATCCATGTTTCCCAAGCCTAATGCTTCCTAAGATGTAAGGCCATGATAGCACCAGCTGTCTAGTGTTTATTAAGAACTTTTACAATTAAAGCTTGCATTCTCTGGAGCCCAGTAATAATAAAACACTAAACCCCCAGTCAGCTGTATAATAATTTCCAAGGTTTATAGTAACAACATTACACTTGGAAAACAAAATACTTACTACTTGTCTCTCACAGTGAACCCTTAATTTACAGGAAATTATGTATTTAACAGCAAACTATTCTATTTCTGTTGTTCATACAATGCAGATGCTGCTTTAACAGTACAGCACATACATTTACTATAAATCTAGGCCACATCCCTTGTGACAATGTCTGAGTCAAGTCCTGAGAAGGCACAGCAGAGGAGGCACATTACTCCTAGTCTCCTATGGGAGAACACACTCTCAGCAACCAGAGCCTTCTGAAGACAGCAATTCCCAGACTGAAAGAACCCCAGCCTTTGCCATCAGGAACAGACAGTACACCACAGACTTCTACAAAGTTCTGTGTTAGACTGGAAATAGCATTTAAATCTCCGATGTACCGATGGTGCTAGCTTAAAGAGCATGTAAAGAAAACAGATTTCTAATGCTCTTACAGAAGTGTTGTAAACATCCATGAAGGATAATTCAGAGTGAAAATGCATTCTGACACTGAAAAAAAGCCTCTGACATCTTTTGATAAACTTAGGGACAAATAATAATGATAGAAGAGAACGCTTAGGAAGTCATTGAGTCCACGTTTCATCTGAGCACAAAATGGTCAACATATGGCTATAGCCTGTATTTAAATTAATATAAGTTAGAGCACTCAAACTGTTTTTATTTGAAATTGAAAGCTGCAAGATAAGTCTTGGCAGTATTTATTTGGAAAATATAAGGCAAATGCATTTTTCAAGACAGCCTTTTGGGTACAACATTAAAGTGGAAAAGAGCTCCTTCTGTAATCTCAGCAGTGCTGTAGGGAACAGTTACAGTACGTGCTTTTGTCACAGACAAGTGTCTCACAATGTGTAACTAATGATAAGAACTAACAGAAAACAGCAAAAGACTTTTGAAGACCCCAAGTACTGCACTGTATCAGCCAAACAGTCTCAGTATTGTACCGTATTTGCACTTTTTTTCCAATGGAAATAACTCCACAACTTTCAGCAAAGTACAAAAGCTGGAAATCTGTAGCACATCTTTAATATGCAGCTGCCCAGTAAAGCCCTTGGTTTTCTAGTTTGCACTTGTACAAAATGAGGGCAGCAGGAATGACACACCCACCTCACGGACCTCGTTCTCCTTCATCACGTGCCTCGTAATGTAACGGATGGAATCCAGAGCTGCTTCCAAGGTGTTCCTGGACGACTCTGAGCCATTCACATTGGCTGTTTCCTCCTTCTGAGCAAAGTACCTATCCACATGGCTCCTCATGCACAGCAGCTTGGGCAGCTTGTGCAGGAAGATCTTGCGAACCCAGGGCGCCATGGCGTTGTGCGTGGACGAGGAGCGGTGGTGGATGTTGATGGCAAAGACGGTGATCACAATGGACAGGGTCACAAATATCATCGTGAACACCAGATACTCTCCTATGAGAGGGATCACTTTAGAAGATGATGGAATAATTTCTTCAATAACAAGAAGAAAAACAGTCAAAGATACCAGTACTGAAGTGCAGAGTGAAATTTTTTCACCTTCATTTGAAGGAAGATAGAAGACAAGGACAGTTAGAAATGAAAGCCCGATACAAGGAATAATGAGAAACAAAGTGTAAAAAAGTGGCAAACGTCTAATTATAAATGAATATGTAACAAAAGGATACCAGCAGCATCCATCAGTCCTGTTTCCTTTGCTCCCTGTTGCAGTCACTATTTCCCATTCTCCGTTATCAAAAAAATCTCTTTTGTCAACATCATAATCTTCAAGAATTAGATCAACCTGTGAGCCATCATAGGTCCAGGAGCCAAATTTCATTGAGCAATTCTGAAGGTCAAAGGGGAAGAATGTTACATCAATAGTACAAGAACTTTTGTAGTTTGCTGGTGGAGTCCAAGCAATGGTGCCATCATATTTTACCACAGTTTTTGTAGATGTTCCCTCAAAACGTCCATCTGCACTGAAAGAAGAGATAAATTACAGCCAATTACAATGGGCTGTGGGGATGTATTTAAAGAAGAAATTATGTTTTGTTATTGTCATTTCAGCTGTCTGTCCCTTGATAGCCAAAATTTTGTATTGACTTCATAGTCAACTTTTCCCCCTCAAATCTGAAGCTAACATAGGTAAACAGCTTTGGAAGACTGAAGAATATTTTCAAGTCTTGAAAAGATCTGTGCAACTTTCTATGGTCCCAATCTTATGAAAAGATTGTAAAATCCTAATCTTTAACAGCATGACTCAGCTCTGGTGTTTCTATTAGTAAGACAGAGTAAGTACTTTTAAATTCAGCCAAACTATAATTATTGAAGAAAAAGAGTCATTAAACAGGTAAAATAATACTTGTGCCCAAACTTGAATTTACAATCACTGCTACAGCCTTTTTTCCTGACTCAACAAGTCTGGAAATGTAAAAGCACTCTATGTGCATCTGGGTTGTGCACAAAGGTTAATTCAAAAGTTCTTGTTTCTGAGATCTGTTAATTTTCAAAAGAAAAAAGTCAAAACCAATCCAACCCACCCCTTACAGTTAAATGTACCTGACTTTAATTCCATGCTGAATATGACCTACAACAGCATAAATTAGTTGCTTCCCTCCTATCACACTACACTATTCATACCCAGCACTGTGCAAGACATTTTTGTCCAATAAAGAAAAAAGTTCACACAACAAAATAGAAATAACTTTTTCAAAGGGACTAGAAATTCCATTCAGAAGTAAAGCAAAACATCTGAGCACTTAATATGGCAACAAAGTCTATTTGCATTCAGAGGCAAGTTCTTGCACTGGTTCTTTAGCCCGCTAAATGTACACATTGTGTCCATCCAATGAGCCTCCCAGAAGCAGCTTGGTCAGAGAAGTTATGAAGTAAATGCATTTTGTATGAAAAGATTCAAACCTTACTTGTCATACAGCACAATATCTGGAATCCAGATAGAATCTGATGGGACACGGATAGATGTGATTCCTGCATAGTCGTCAGGATTCCACCTCAACTTCACATCTATCCATTCCTGTGGATATGTGAGATGTAAAAATCATTATTATTGGGAAGTGGATTTCAGCAGGGTGATAGCAGATGAAAATAAATAACAGGGCAATTAACAACAATCAAAGTGAACTAAAATTTGCATCAAACAATGAAGTTGCTGAACAGGCATGTGGTTACCTCATTCAGTATTTGTTTTCTGTTATAAGAGCTGCTTGACAATGTTTCTGTACAGAACTTAAGATATGATGTTCCTTTTTCAGAGCATGCATTTATAAGTAAGAGCTATTAGAATGTAGTTTAATTGTATAAATTAAATTTGAAAAAAAGCTTGTTCTGGATGAATACCAATGACTGGAAGCTAATCAGAAGCAATTTAAACATTTTCATTATACAAAAAAAACCCCATCATGTTCCAACTCTTAAAACTGGTTCAACTTCAAGAAGACCTGTAGAAACTATTAAAGAGGACACAAAGAATCATCAGCTCACGTGGCCATCTAATATTTGCTGACTAATCTCAAAGTTTTCCTAAAAATAAAAACTTGGCCTAAAATTACAGTTACCAAAAAGAAAAAAAATGGGAAGCAAAGGGAAAAAACTCAAATAAACAAACAGAAAAGAATTAGCCCAAACAAAAAGAATTCCATAAGCTAGTAAGTATACCCAGCATCTGCAAAGATTCTTCTCAGTTAAATCAAGAATGATTTGTGAGCAGCATTAGCTGAGTAAATAGTGGCAATTAAGTTTAGTACTGGACTCTGACAATTACAAAGCTGGAGGCTTTTTCCTGCCCAAACCCAAATATTCTTAAGAGAAAAAAGTATTTCCTTCTAGCAAGCATATTTAATTTTGAAACTGGAATTTCACAGTAATGTATATCCAATAATTTCAAATATCCTACAGGAAAAAGACCTCAAAAATATTATACAGAATAATACACCAACCATACTTTTCTTGATAAAGCTTTTGTATAAAAACTTACATACTGAAGCAGCAATTCATGGTTGGTTATATATACCTTGGTATATTAAATGGTGATGCAATGCCATATCATATTACTTTTAATTTGGTGAATTTTTATTTACTTGTTATGGTTTTCTTAAGAGGTTTGTCACAATTAATCCTTTAAAGCATTTTCAGGAACATTCTATAAAGATACTATGTGAAATAAAATTTCTTGCAAGAACTAAGTTTTTTGAATATACAATTAACTAGAAAAGTTTCTCCTAAATGTTGATTTGCAGTTATGAAGCTTCAGAAATTTTCATCAATATTTACACGTACCTGTTTCAACCATACATTTGTTGTCATCAATTGATTTTTTTCATCCTGTAAAATAAAGCATATATCACAAAAAAGAATCTATCCATAGGAAATAGCTGCTTTAGTTCACAGAGGTCTGTAACTTAAAATACAAAACACACTGCTGAAAGCATTCTAATCACTAAGTATGTTTATATGAGAACATTATATATTCATCTATAGGGCATTTTTTATTACACAGATAATAATTTATGTTTAATCTATTGTGTTTAACAGGCTCAATTATTTCACATGAAATTATGTTCCTTTTAAAGTTAGTGGAAAAAAACCCAATTTATTTACTATACATACCACATCTACTAGCTGAGAGATTGCAAGGCCAAACTTGATTTTTATTGTGTCATTCAAGCGCTCCACTGGACGAACCCATCTTTGATAGTCCTCGAATAAATGCTTGAACAAGCGATCTTCACTTTTAGCAATAAAAGAAGGTTCAGATACAGCTATAATAAAAAAAAATATTAACATTGATTCAAATGAGCAGTGTACATCTGCATTCTTATGTCCAAACAGTTACAGCTTTTTTTATGCAGAGTTCAATTTCTCATCTCATCCCCTTCTCTCTAGAACCATGCTCACAGTCATGGAAGTAGAATTTTATGAAGTTATCTGGTTTTATTGGCATCCTCATACCATTACCACGCTTCTAAAATTGATGACTCAAGAACATTAAGATAATCTCAGCAGGCAAAAAGCTCTTATATAATTTACCCAATGCCATGCAGCTATGGAACTCCTCTAAAACAGAAAGCTGATCATGAGGGACTGAAGTTCTGCCAACCTACATCCACATTACACACCTGTGGTATCCTGCATAACTTCCAATCCAGTTTGAAACTTCAGTCTCTTTGATTAATGTATCTCTTCTAATGTTTGGGCACATTTACCATGTATAAATTTTGCTGCACTTGTAGAGCACTTTCCCTCACACTGTTTTGTATCTTAGATGCATATGCCAAACTATTCACCAGTTGACTCTCTACCCATTCTAATGTTACACTGACTGGGATGCACCTTTCCAGTTCTTTTTCACAGCTCTCAAGGGTTCATTCTGGGGAAGATGAACAGAGAGGGGGAAAAAAAAGGGAAGATCCGAGTCTAGCTGAATAACTTGAGTAAGAACAGCTTTCAAAGGTGTTATAAAAGACCTGAAGATGGCTGCTGCCTTGAGAAGCACAAACTACACACATCACCTTGCATGGAAGGGCCTCCAATCCTCAGGCACAAGTTAGAATGACCACCAGAAAACACTGACATGTTCTAGATAAAGATTTTTACTACTTACCAATGAAATTTAAAAGGGAACTACTGCCAAAAAAAGACCTAGCAACTGTTATAATCAGTTTAAGGGACAGCATAAACAAAAGAAAGGAGCTCACCACCATCTCTTTTAAATGCGGACTTAAAATATTATGCTATTCCATAAATCTATGGCACAACCTCTCTAGAAATCATGTGCTCACTAACAGCATCCATCTAAAAAAAGATGTATCAGAAGCAGAAAATCACCAGAGAATGACATAAACAGATTAAAACCAGAGACAGTCATCCGTACAAGGAGAGATTTAAAAGATTAACATTACTGTCTTTGGAGAGGAGGTGAATTTAGTCAACATAACAGAAGTAGATCAACTAGGAACGATACAAGCAGAAAAAACACTGGTAGTATCTAATCTTTCTCATTAAATAAGCTAAAGGAAACAAAGTATCAATTAAAGGCAGCATAAATAATGTGTGCTTGAAGTTCATTACCATCAACATTCAGTAAATCAGCAATTCATAGGTACTGAAGAGGACTAGGATGTTGGAATGGCCTGGGGTGACTGCACTGTATGCCAGGCAGTGTCACACCGGCACAGGGCAGCAGCTCTCGTTCCCACAACACTAGATAAAGCTCCCTCAGAGTTTGACCAACACTTCCATGACTTGGCATTGGTGGCAGAGGCCTGGCTGACACCACTTCAGCCATTAATTGAGCTGACCTAACCCAGTCCCACATGACTGCAGCCCAGACAAACTGAGATGGGCGGCCCAAGTTTTAAGTTCCCTTGTGTTCATTGAAGTGTGACTGATGTGCTGCAAAAGGCTCCATGTACAGATCCTTTGGTGAAAACAGCCAAAGCACTGCAGAGCTCAGCAAGGCAGGTCCCTGCCTTTGGCACTGCAGCTTGGGGCAGTCCAGTAGGAATATCATTATTTTACACACTAATCAGATTTCTCTGAAGTGCCATAGCAGCAGCAAAAGCAGAATGTAGCTTAAGAAAGAGGATCAGCACAGTGGGAGCAGCAGGACCCCGTTTTTGTCACAGACACATTTTATGAAAAATCGTTTCCTTAGGATTTTTCCTCCTGAGAAGCTGAGAGGCCTCAGGAACAAAATGTAAACAATAATTATCTGCTGCTGTGGAATGCAACAGATGCATCTGGGATTGGTTTCATGGGGTTGTTTCTAATTAACGGCCAATCACAGTGAGCTGGCTCAGACTCTGTCCCAGCCACAAGCTTTTGTTATCATTCCATTCTTTTTCTATTCTTAGCCAGCCTTCTGATGAAATCCTTTCTACTATTCTTTTAGTATAGTTGTAATATAATATATATATATAATTAATTAATAAATCAAGCCTTCTGAAACATGGAGTCAGATCCTCATCTCTTCCCTCTTCCTCAGACCCCTGTGAACATCACCACACTTTTTCCTACAACTCTTACCCCACACTAATGTGCTACTGAATGGTTCTTGCTGTGGGCCAAATCAACATTTGGGTTTTAAGACAGTTCACCCTTCTGTTTCAAAATACAAATCTTTCTGACTTGTGGGATGTGCAAAGAACTGATGGGCAACTTACACTATACCACTGAGATAGCTCAGGTGGATACAGAAAAACTCACAGGACATGAGAATTGCTGCCAAAAAGGATCCAGCAACAGAACATTGCACATGTACAAGTTATCTTGTAAATGTACAAGTGCCAAAAATATATTTAACTGGTTCAATATATCCTCATTGGCCAAGGATTTTTTCTTATTTGTAACTATAGACAGATTTGCCAAGCCCTACATTTTACAGACATCCAAAAGAATGCTTCCTGAAGACCCAACCTAATTTCTCTATTTCTATATCCCTATTTCCTGAATTATGAAAGGTTTTGTGTATATTTCAGCCTAATATTTCATAAATACTTGATTTTTATATTAGCATTAATTACATTTCCCTCCTCCAGTTACAACTCTCAACTGAATTTAAGACTGACTATGCAGCTGGATATTATCTCTCAATTAATTGACCTTGAAGCAATGCAGAGGCAAAGTTGCACTTTCACCATTTCTGTGTTCCTGTAAGACAAGCTCCTGTGCAACGACACAGCATCCTCAGGGTACATGTTGTTTCCAGATCAAGCTTCTCTTAAAACACAGCATCTCCTCTGCTCTGCTCAAAGGGGACATGTTCCTTTACTGCTTTTCTATACTTAGATTATTTTTCAAACATTTTGTACTCAGACCTATAGTATACTCACTCATCTATTACAATGACCATTATTTACTAACAATATAGTTCAATTATTTCTTTCTTTCTTTGTCTGATCACAGATGTATCCACACTTTTCAATATTTCTATTTTATTCTCTTTATTAACACGTTGGGGCAAACTGGTCTAGAAAAGACTTCTTGAACAAAGGAGAGCTCCATGAGGGGCTGGGAATGGTAAGAGTATATTAAGACTAGGCAAAAACAAAATAAGTAATCACCTCTACCTTGTACATTTTATTTAACATGGCAATTCAAACAATTTGTTACACAGACTGCATATGTCTTATATCTCTTTTCCATGGATCTATGATTTTAAGATTACAACAAGGGGCTGTGATTCTTAGTTACTCCTTGTATTAACATCAGTACAAAAATTGTGAAGAACTGGTGACAAGTGGAAAAATGTTAAGAGAGGAAAACAAGTAAAACAGTTTTAGTGGCTTAAGGCAGCAGAGTAGAAAAACAGAAAGAGGTTAAAACCTATGACTAGCAAGATTAGCAAACAAACAACTCAGAGTACAATCTCATCCTAAATCAGATGGCAAGAGATTACGGCAACACTCACCCCTGCCACCAGCTCAGTATTAAAAAATACTTAAAAGATCTGTAGCCCCTGAAGGGCAGTTCTGAGCTGGCCTGTATTTGTGTGGCTCCATTTCTATTGAGGCCAGGGAACCCCTGCAGGTTAAACCAAAGGCAGCTCTCTGCACTGGTCAGTGGCAACTCCCAATGACAACATTTTCTTTATTATTTGCACCTTAAATTCTTCTCACTGCCCCTCAGTGTAAGTCCATATTTAGCAACAAAAAAACCCAAAAAAAACCCACACCTAAATCATATATGAGATTGGATGGCCTAAATTTTAATTCTCCACAAAGGAGACAAATGTTTATGCACAAATTATTCAATTTTTTTAAACTCTGAAGTAGCTGGAGAACAAAGGCTAGGTAAAAATTCTAATGAAATGCTTGACCTTGAAAACATTGTATTTAAAAATTCAGTTCTACTATTTCCTCCATAGGTATTTAACAAACTTTTTTATCAAACTGCTTTGGAAGAACTATTTAGAAAATAGGGTGAAACATTACATGGGCCTCAGATGCACGAGTAGCATGATAAAACATGTACATGTCCATTTATCTTGATAACATTCCCAAGTCATAATTTCACATGGGCTGCTAATGGCTAACTTTTCTAATGTTGTAGATAAGAAACAAAAGATGGGTTTTACAAAAGAATAACACTCTTGTAATTTACTGTACCATTATGGGATTAAATTTCCTAGCATCTTAATATGATTTAGCAACATTATTCCTTTTATAAGAATTACCAGTGAAATACTTAGTGTTACAGGCTTGATCCCAGAGGTATTTTCATAAATCTTTGTTTTTAAATAGGGGAACACCACAGTCCATGCTTCTCCAAATAACAAGCTTTCTTTGAACTCTGTATTCCTCTGCACTTCCTTAGATAGAGAGTCTAAGAGCCAGATTGGCAGTGCAGGTGTAACACTGGTCCTTATACATTAAACAGTGCAGTTCAAAGCATTTTCTAATTTAAACAGTGTAACTCAAAGCATTTTCTAATTGACAGAATTGAGAGTTAATGATTTCAGGTTTTCTTTACATCACTATTGGGTGCAAAAGGAGGCCCATGGGGAAAGGGGAAGGATCACTTTCTAGAAGTGTAATGCTAACATGCATTTTCAGAAGTAATATATATTACTAATGCATATTTTTATTTATACACCATTACAGCAAAAAAACCCAACAAACACAACACTACTAAGGACAATAAACGCTGCAAAATATCCATACTTTGCAGTTTAACATTATATTCTTTAACTCTGGGCTATATAACACAAACTTATCCACAAATCTAACAACTAATAATTTCCTTAAAAATCTGGAAGGTGAAGGAATATACACAGTATCCCTGCCTTCAGTACTCTAGTATATTTACTGAGATGATCTCCCATCGTTACTTCATTAGGTGGAAAAGACAGGTGTAATGTATCAAATTGAAGTTTTATTTGATACTGATTCCTCTGACCCTTTGAAAAGGATCATGAGTCATACTTCCTGCATGGTCTTTAATTTTTTGGCCTACTTTTCCTTCTATGCATTAGCAATTGCCCAGAATCCAATCACAGTCAAGCGTTTAATTAACAGCAAGCATTCAGAAAGATCACAATCATCTCAACTAGGATGCCTGTAAGTCAAAGCAGCAATACTAACTTTATTCTATTTATTGAATAGAAGTCAGAAAAGCCAATGATTACATTCTGAACTTTCCAGAATTATCTTTTCCTCCCCTGTTTAAAAAATAAAGGCAAACCCTATCACCACACCTACAAGCATGGAAAAGGTGGCTTTAGAGTTACTGGGAAGATTTGTGCCTTCTCTTTTACCTAGCACATCAACCTCCAGCCAACCAGGAGCAAAATAAAACAACATATATTGAACATGAAAGTGTGAGGAATTTTGAACTGCAATACTGCTTAGTACTTACCAATATGCACAGAGGTACAAGAGCTGCTCACAGAAAGTAGGGAAGCTGTTTCTCACATTCAATTCAAATTTAAAATGTTAAAGGTACAACTTGATGGTTGTAAAGGAGAATGAAACTACTCCCTAACAGCTTAGCAACAAGGTATAACTATGGCACATATTTCTGAATACAAGTACAAGTTTGGTTAATAACTATAATAGACCATGTAGTTTGTAAACAAACCAAGAAATAGATATGAACTGACAGTCAGTCTTTAGATTAAGAGCTAATTGGACCACCAACCATTCCTTTCTGTGCTATGGATTCTAGGGCAAGTCCACACCAGGTGCCAAAGAGCTTCCTGACCTCCCTAGTGACACGGCTGGCACAGCAGTGACAGTGCCCTGCAGCAGTGACTGCAGCCTGTGCCTGCCCAGCCCACTGCCACCAGCCTGCTCCACTCAGCTCCACAGCCACAACTGGGATCCTCCTCCCTGCCCAACAGCAGGGCCACAGGAAAAGGGGCTGCACATCAGGGAAAATCCTGTCCCACTGAGGGCAGGACATTCCTGTAACACATCCAGCATTTTGTCATCTCTCTTTGTACCACTGTTAATCATTCCATCAATTCCACTGATTGCTGACACTGAGGATGGACTGTGAAGTCAGCCTCGAGGAATGCTGAAAGCAAGCAGCAAAAAGGGTGTGCAGAAGTGCAGATAGCACAAGGAGCACAAGGAAGAACAAGATGTAGAACCTGATAAGTAGAACCATTTATAAATTTAGAGGCTATGTGTCATGAAATTAAACACAAATCTGAAATGTACATTAAAAATTCCTTATGGAAATAAGAAACAGGCCAGGGCTTCTCACAGGCTGCCAGTGCAGCCCTGGGTGCTGCAGACTTTGGGCACCAGCCTTACCTTCTGCCTCAGGAGTGTTTTGCCCACTCAGCTCCATTCCAGTCTTGGATACACTGGAACACAGAATCCTACAGCTCACAGAAATCAGCTACATTGCTCAAAACCAGATGGGGAGATTTCAAAATCTATAATATCACACAAACCCTGGGTTTTACCATTCTAAAAAGTGGGAAACTATGCAAGTATTTCCTTCTACAGATCAACACAGGCACTTCTCCTCGAATCAATGCTCACATTTATCCCCTTAAGAACCTCTAAGGAAAGAGGTTCTTAAAATATTTTAAGGTTCTCAAAATATTTTAAGAGAAAAATCACAAGAAACCCATACAGGCAGAAAGGTTTGCAGCTTTCTGTTGGGTAGGGAGAAGGATTTGATCTGTTAAACTGAGTGGAAAATGCCTGGGTGCCTGAAGTGCCAGGGAAACACCATCACAGGTCTGCCTGCAGCACAGCAGGGCTAGGCTAGAGTTGTTGTTAACCTCAGCTCCATTTGGGCATTCCAGTCTCACCTGTTAACTAAAAATTCAGAGCAAGAACAAGACATACTTTGACTGTATTTTAAATTAGCAAGTATTTTCTCCTGACAATTTGGAGTTAGCCAAGACAAAATATTGGTTCACTATTAACTGAAGGAAACACCAAATTAATTTACAAGCACTCTTATAGCAAATTTAATTTTACTTTAGAAAAAACAAGTTATGAAAAGAAACTTTAGCCTCATTGTATAAAATCAGTTCTCAGTGAAGTCAAAACTGCTGGCTTGTGCCAAAAGGCAAAACCTGGCTTACCCTGACTGCAGGTAATTCCATGCAGTCATATAAATCATGTAATGTCACATAATGATTTTGTATCTTCTGTCATCATGAAGAACAGGAAAAACACTGCTTTTCCAAATTTTGGGACAAAGAATAGTCTTTTAAATCACATTCAGCAATAACAGACTGAGTATTTGTAGGCTGAATTAAAACCTAGATGTTGATACAATCAACTTTCAATAAACTATATTTACAATCACTTTTTCAATTTTCAGTTAGTATAAAAAAAGTTCAAATTTATCTTTCATTAATTTTCTGTCTGCCTTTTATTGTTGTAGTTATGTTTTCAAGACATTCTGCAAGACTCTTGGGAATGTACTTACAAATTATGTGAGTGCAACATTTTGAAACAACTGTTTCTAAATAAATCGGTGGAAGAGCGGTGATTTTGCTCCTTTAATCTCTGTATAATTCTATAAACACTCCAGCTTCACATGCTGTTTTACATCCTTCAACTCGGAAAGTTAAATCCTGATTGAATTATGAGACTGCCTCTTTTGAAGTCAAAGAAATGATGCACGACTAAACTAAAGACAGTTGTCTTATAAATTCTTCAGTTGTCTTATAAATTCTTAAGAGGGTTGTTTTCATGGGCAGACACATCCGTATGCGAAATTACAGTTATTAAAACATATTCTGCAAGTTTACCTCTGTACCAGATGCAGAGCATGCACCACAAACCTACAACTGCACCTCCCCTCACAAAGTGAGCAGATAAAAACCTGAAAGCTGCGGCAGCTGAGATCTTTAAAGCGTTATATCCATGCACATTTAGGAAGTGTATGTAATGAAATGTGAGGCATTCAGGACTGATAATGCCCCTGAAAAGCTTTAGTTTAGCAAAGACATTTCCTCCTCTCCTGTGAGGGGGCAGCCCTGGTGAGCCCGTCTGACAGCGCTCCCCGCAGGTCCCGCTCGTTCTCCCAAAGCCAGCGCAGCCCCGCGATCCTCCCTCAGCAGCCCCCACCGCACCCAGCACCAGCCTTACCTTAACCTCGGCCGGGAAAAAGTTGACGGCGCGGAGCGGAAAACGAATCTGGGGCGCGGAGAGCCCATCTCCGACAGCTTCCCCCCGCCCCGCACCATCCCGCCTCACTCCCTCCCCTCACGGAGCGCTCCCGCTGCCCGCGCTCCCACCCGGGCAGGGCAGCGGCGCCCGCAGACCCCCGGGCCACGGTACCGCCCGCTCCGTCCCCGGCGGCCCCACACACTCCAGGAGGGCTCGGAACCCCCCGCCGGCCGAGCCCACCCCTCCGCCACCTTCCTGGCTGCTCACCGGAGCGCTTTTCACCCTTCACTCCTCTTCCCAGCGGCCGACCCTCATCCCTGGGGCCGCCCCGAGCCGCCTTACCCGCGTGTGAGGCTCCGAGCTGGCCGAGCAGGGGCGCGCAGAGCCAGGTGAGGAGGAGCATGGCCGGAGGGCGGCCGCAGCACGGCCACGCTCCGCGCCCGGCCATGGCTTGGGCACAGCCCCGTTCGCTCCGAGCCCCGCGGCGGGAGCCGGGAGCCGCTGGGGCCGGGCGGCGCTGGCCCCGCCCCGCGGGGGCCGTGAGGAGGCGCGGGGGGCGGGAGCCTCGGACCGCGCGGGCCCGGCCCCACCGCCGGCCGCGCCCCGGCCTCGGGAGCCGCTCTCGGCCCCGGTGCGGCCGGAGGAGCTGCCGGCAGCACGGCGGGGAGGAGGCGGCAGCGGTGCGCGCTCAGGCTCGGTGCCCGTGCCCGTCCCGCCGCCCGGGAGCGGCTCCTGGCGGGGCCGAGCAGGTGCGCGGCGGGGCCGCTGCAGCACCAGCGCTCGGTAACCCCGGCACGGCCACCCGGGCAACGCCTGCTGCGCCTGCACTGTGCTGCTGGGAGGGTGCGAGTGTAAGTGACTTCTGCCGAGAAAAAAATCTTTTAATTTCCATTGCATTTGAAACACTCGGTAGGGGTTTTTTTCCTAAGTTTCTAAATCAGTACGATTTTTAGAAGTTTCTAATTTAGAATATTTTGGAACTTTTAATCTAAAATAGATAAACTAATGCAGGCTAAAAAGACATAGGATATTTCCACATGTTTAGGTATATTACAGATATATAACATATATAATAAATACTCTGTACAAAACACCACTTTTTTCTGTATCAGGTAAATAAATTCTGTTACAAAAGACAACTTCCAACACACACACGGTGAAATTTAATCAGTGATTTTTCCTAAATTGTCTTAATGGAAATGTATAGTGTACACATTGCCAAAAAAATAGAAGCAGCTGGCAATAACACATTTTTTACATCTAAGACAGTGTTTAGTAGTTCATAGAGAGAAAAGACGTGGAAAGAAAGGCTAAATGACTTTACTGTGTTAATCAGCTTGTACCTCAGGAAAATATCCCTTATTTAACTCAAATAATTTTAGCAACTTTATACCTTTCTAAAATGAGCACTACCCAAACAGCAATTTCATTAATAATGTTGTTGATTTTCAAAATTCTTTTATACCAGTTCTTTATTTCACAGAAAAAACACATCTGTCTGTGTAAACAGTGAATCTTTTCAATGACCAAAACAGAATACTGGAGCATTTCAATCCCTTTCTTAATTTTTAGCCTCGTGTTTTTGTGTATTATCTTTTCCTGCAGCCATATTTGGGTTGTGCATGTCTGTGCAAGACATAATGCAGGCTGCACAAGCACACACAAAAGGCTGCTTACACAGGAGTTTCTCCCAGCACACTTCTAGTGACAGGCTGTATTGATTTGAATGCTCTGCAGTAAATATGGTCATTTTATATATTAAGAATCCATTTGTATATGGCATATCTTCTACAGTCAAAGTATTCATATAAAGGATGCAGCATGCTCTTTTTTTGAAATGCTTAGTGTATATGCAGTTGTCAACTCGAGACTTTATAGTAAATGAAAAATATATTTTAGCCAAAAAACAGGGCACAAACACCCACTTTTTTTTTTTTTTTTTTTTTTTTGGTGACACTCCAGTTCTGCAGTTTTCTGAGTGCTTCAAGAATTACTGGGCAATATTTGTACTAAAATTGCAACTCTGTAGTTTTGATGGAAGCTGCTTCACTACCGCACTGCACCTGGTGTTCCTAACATGAGATTATCAGATGAAATTTGTATTTCTGAGCAGTGCAGCTGATGCATTTTAGAGCCATAATGTGTTGTTACCAATGTTGAACATAGCTGCCACTAGAACGTGCAGGACATAGGAAACTGGTTTTATTACATAACTGTGGATTTGTGTGCAGCTGGGTCCTAACTAGGCAAAACAGATGCTGTGGGATATAAAAGGATTAAACTGTCTGGGTTACATGCCTAACATTTTGCTAAATATTTTATGTAGCATCATCTGGCACATGTTAATTATGTTGTATTATTACTGTTTAGAAAACACTAGTTATAAATAAGTAGATGTTTTTTGCCTGCTGCTTTGAACTTAGAGCAGAATGTCAATAGTATCAGCAGCATGTTAAGTTTATTATTTACCATTAAATGAAAGCCTAAACAATTACATGAGTAATGCTGCCTTTCAAAGGACCCTTGTCAGCAGGAGGTGACATCTGAAGGTCCCTGCTAAAGTACACTCTGAGAATCTGCAATAAATTGGCTGATGGCAGCTTTTACTGTGCACTGAAGAGTAGTTTAACTGGAAAGCCAAATGCCAAATTAAACCCGGATAAAAATAGCCAGCTGTTCAATTCTATTTGTAAAATGAGAAATGTTCTAAAAACTTAGTGAAGCTGAATTTTCTCCAGATTAAAGCCAGTGAATGGTACTCTTAGATCCAGAGTGGGTAAACTTCAGTGGGTTTTCATATTGTAGTAGAAATAACTGCAATTGAAACTTGAAAATTAGGATCATTTTTACTGCAGAAGAACATAGCAGAAAACACTCTTTAAAGAAAATGAAAGATGCTTAAATAAGTCTTAGGATCTCCATCAGTCTAAAATGAAACAATTTCTCTCATGTATGAAGTATTTGAGTGCACCAGCTTCTTGGACTTATATGTCTTGTATACTGACTTGTGTTATCCATGGATCACAGTCCTGAGGCTTCTGAAACCACTGAACACCTTTCAATAATTATATTCACTTTCACAACACATTTTATTAAATCTTCACACACTTTATTTAAATTTTCCTAATTCTAAGGTTATGAAGAGAAAGAATAAATAATTACCTTGGAAATACATACGAAACCAGAAGCAGCTGTCAAATTTAACATCAGGAGTTTTTTGTTGTCTCTTAATTCAGGTGCTTTTGTAACTGACAAGTAAAATATTTGGATGAAGAGAGAAGCATACCTAAAGAAGGTCATATAAGAAGCAGTCTTGGAAGTTAATTTGACTTTATTTGAACAGAATACAGTCACCTAGAAAACAAGCTAACTATTTTTAAACACTGACAGATGCAAGAGACAGCACAGGTAATTATTGGAGAAGCAGTAGTTTCATTATCTCCTAAACTACTTAGAATAACAAACCACATTACAATTTCTTAGGACAATCTATTTGTGTATATTTGCATATTTGCCCTAACAAGTTCTATCATGCACTCAAGTGAGATATAAGCTAACCAGTTTTTTAAGTTTACAAACATCCTATTATGCAAACAATATTAAGTAAATACTTTTACCTAACTGGAAAAATCTGTCACCTTCCACAGCACTACATGAAGATCTTGTTTTAAAATAACATTAAATCCACAGCAATAGCTAAATATTTTAAATACTTATGTATTACACTGTAAACTCTATGTAAACACTACATACACCAAAAACAAACAAAAAAAAAACATACAAAGAACAGGAAGATCATCTTGATTAGCAAAGATACCTCAAATGTATCGCCAGAATCATTTTTCTGTTCTTACGACTTATCCCCAAACCACTCCCAGAGAAGGCACAGTTGGTGGTGATTTTTTTTAAATTTTTTTTTTTTTAACACACAAAGCCAGAATCAATACAACAGGCCAATGCAGTCAAGCACTGCTCTTATTTCTAGGAAGAACAGGAAAGAAACTTGCATTAGTGTCCAGATGGCTCAGGAAGATTCTAATAAAGAAAGATCTCCAGCATCTGCTTACTGCCCTAGGCTCAAATGCAGAAACTAATCCCAAATTAAATTTTGGTCAGGAGAACTTGGCTGTACATCTTGGACATGACTGCCAGCTAGAGTTACTTGCCTATTCCAAGGCAGTACAGAGGCTCAGCTCACAATCAGCTATTAATGGCACTCAGGAGAGATAATGGTTTTTTAAATGAAATTGGTAATTACTGTTCAAAGATTGTACTCAAGAAGTATTAGACAATACTTCTTCCACTTTGTGCAAACAAAACCTTTAAATAAATAGATCTTTTAAAACTTATTACAATGCTTCAATACATTTATTAAAGTCATTTCAACTTTTTATTATTACAGTATCTAAAAAGTTCTCCTTTACCAGGAAATGATGCCATGTTTGGCAAGAAAATGATATTGGTAATTCTTTCAACCAAAATATGCATATATGAGTTATCCCCATTTTTTTAGAAAAAATGCTTCTAAGAAAAATATTTTACTAAGTCTATATTCTAAGATACCTGATAATGCTTACACTATTACACTAAACAAACTGCCTTTTGTGAACTATATACATTGATGAACACAATCTCAGATGCACTAACACTTTCCCAGAAGACAGAAAGCATTGCTGGAATCTATCACATATTGTTGCAAGTAATCTTTGAGAAGTGAGAAAAAACTCCATTTTGGCATTGCTGCTTTTTGAGCATTTTCCAAGTACTTGTATAACCATCATCAGCGATCCAGAAATCTGCAAAAGATGCTGATATATTGCATTCATGGTATCAAAAAATAGAAAGACTGAGCACTGAATTTTTACATAAAATAGAGCTTGAGGTATTTATACAATCCTTTATAATGGAGATTAAATATTACCCATTGCATGTTGTCTGTAACTATTCAGGAACTGTTACATGAAATACCATTCCCATGTTGTTTTTTGGAAGACCTACTGTAGCACAAGGTGTAAATAAGTCAGTAGAACTTTCATAGCTATAAAATTTGTGTATTAACAAAGTGCTATCCAAGTTCAGTGCTAAAGACTGAAGCAGTTGGGCTGCACCAAGGCTTAGAGAATGAGCAAGCAGGTCCTGCAGAGAACCCACAGCCTCCCCCCTCTCTGAACAGAGGCTGCCAGAGTGAGGGCAGGACAACTACACAAGCTGCAGCACAGACATCTTGAGTCAGATTCCTTCCCTCTGTTCTCCACAGTGACTCTCACAGCAGTGAACTCAAAAATGGGTTTAGTCGGGAGGAAGGGTCATTTCTGGCCATGTTGACAAAGTACATTTTAGTGAAAAATGTCTGAGATGAATAAACCAACAAAACACTGTATGGATTCACTATTTCTTTAAATGGTCATACTAAATCCTGTATACATCAGTTATCCTTTGGGGTAAGAAAATCAAACCAACTTTACAAGATCAATACAA